ATGTCTTAAAGTATTCATTTAATTTCGAAATTTTTTATTTAAAATTTAAAAACTTTTCTAATAAATTAAATAAAAAAATGTTTGAAATTGATGCAAAAATAATTTATTACATTTACCTTATAAATAATTGTCAAAATATTAAACAAATAAAGAAAAACAAGTATAAGGATATTTAAGTAATTTTATTATTTATCTTACCTCACATTACCTAGTAAATATCCAAACACAAATTTTCAACTCATTACCTTCCTTTACCTACCTTTAATTACCTACCTACAATTACCTACAATTACCTACCTAATAAAACTTTACTTACCTCAATCCAAACACACCCTAAAGCTACTTGATTTTAAGCGAACTCTGGACAATAAAGCTGTATGAATGTATCTATCTAGCGATGCCTAGAAGAAATGAGAATCTGATGGCGGTAACCGTATTTCCGATCGGACGGCTGATATTCAAAGCTAGAATCTTCTAGTCCCATCTATCGTCCCTCTCTGTTCCCGAATATAAAATTCACACCGCTTCATCCCCCCCTGCAGTTCAACGTGAAATACAAAAGCTGGGAAAAAAAGCTCTCTGAAAATCCATCAAAGCTTTCCGAATCAACAATCCGTCGTCGTTAAGCTTACCAGAAGTAATGGCGGGGAAAGGAGAAGGGCCGGCGATCGGAATCGATCTCGGAACGACCTACTCGTGCGTCGGAGTTTGGCAGCACGATCGCGTGGAGATCATCGCCAACGATCAGGGGAACCGGACGACGCCGTCTTATGTGGCGTTCACCGACACAGAGCGTCTCATCGGCGACGCCGCTAAGAATCAGGTTGCTATGAACCCTACTAACACCGTTTTCGGTAAGCTCCTTGGCCTGCAATCTGAAATTCTGTATTTTATACTTCCTGTGACTGTTCTTCGCTTTTGAATCAACTAGGAAAGTAAGTAGATCTGTGAAATATGGTTTTATTTTCTGTTCTAGGTTGGAAATTTTGGCAGAAATTCAAAATTTCCAGTAGGAATTGCCAAGGCATTTCTGGTTCAATTTGATTTTAGTTCGTGCCTGATACTCTATTTTATTCTGCGAATTTAAAATGATTTTGGGTTGTGGAAGTATGGATATTAAGGTAGACACTCAATCTTAGGGTTTTTCAAAGTGATTTTAAGTTATGAAGCTGATTTCTAGTATGGAAATTAAGGTAGATCCTCAATTTTTCTAGTAGAATTTGTCCATTTTTTGTAGTTCTCCACTGAAGCTCTTCAAATGAAGTCGATTTAGAGAATTTAGAGTTTTTTAAAAGTGATTTTAAGGTAGATGCTCGATTTTCCAGTAGAAACTGTCCATTTTTTTTGCTGTTCTCCGCTGAGAATTTATGGGATTTTTAATTTTGGAAAATGATTTTGAACTCAAATTGTTTGATTTCAGATGCTAAGCGATTGATTGGAAGGAGATTCTCTGATCCATCTGTTCAGAGCGACATGAAGCTCTGGCCATTCAAAGTGATTCCTGGCCCGGGGGATAAGCCCATGATTGGGGTGTCATACAAGGGTGAGGAGAAACAGTTTGCTGCAGAGGAGATATCCTCAATGGTTCTCATTAAGATGAGGGAGATTGCTGAGGCTTTCCTTGGTTTGTCCGTGAAGAACGCGGTTGTGACTGTGCCTGCTTACTTCAATGACTCCCAACGTCAAGCCACCAAAGATGCAGGCGTGATTGCTGGGCTTAACGTGATGCGAATAATCAATGAGCCGACCGCGGCTGCCATTGCTTATGGCCTTGACAAGAAGGCGTCGAGTTCGGGCGAGAAGAATGTCCTCATCTTTGACCTAGGCGGGGGCACTTTCGATGTTTCCCTCCTCACGATCGAAGAAGGGATTTTCGAAGTGAAGGCCACAGCTGGTGACACTCATCTTGGTGGTGAGGACTTTGATAATAGGATGGTGAACCATTTTGTTCAGGAGTTCAAGAGGAAGCACAAGAAGGATATCAGTGGGAACCCTAGAGCCTTGAGGAGGCTAAGGACAGCATGTGAGAGGGCAAAGAGGACTCTTTCCTCCACAGCCCAAACAACCATAGAGATCGACTCCCTCTACGAGGGGATCGACTTCTACACCACCATTACCCGCGCCCGGTTCGAGGAGCTCAACATGGACCTCTTTAGGAAGTGCATGGAACCCGTCGAGAAGTGTTTGAGGGACACGAAGATGGACAAGAGCAAAGTGGACGACATCGTCCTCGTCGGCGGGTCCACTAGGATCCCCAAGGTACAACAACTCTTGCAAGACTTCTTCAATGGGAAGGAGCTCTGCAAGAGTATCAACCCGGATGAGGCGGTTGCCTATGGTGCCGCAGTTCAAGCCGCGATCTTGACCGGCGAAGGGAACGAGAAGGTCCAAGACCTTCTCCTTCTCGATGTCACCCCGCTGTCTCTCGGCCTTGAGACAGCTGGTGGGGTCATGACGGTTTTGATCCCGAGAAACACGACCGTCCCTACAAAGAAGGAGCAAGTGTTCTCCACGTACTCCGACAACCAACCCGGCGTCTTGATCCAAGTGTACGAAGGGGAGAGGACGAGGACCAAAGACAACAACCTCCTCGGCAAGTTCGAGCTCAGCGGCATCCCCCCAGCCCCTAGGGGGGTCCCACAAATCAACGTGGTCTTCGACATCGACGCCAACGGCATACTCAACGTGTCCGCGGAGGACAAGACGACCGGCCAGAAGAACAAGATCACGATCACGAACGACAAGGGCAGGCTGTCCAAGGAGGAGATCGAGAAGCTGGTGCAAGAAGCCGAGAAGTACAAGTCGGAGGACGAGGAGCACAAGAAGAAGGTGGAGGCCAAGAACGCCTTGGAGAACTACGCGTACAACATGAGGAACACAGTCAAGGACGAGAAGGTCGGCTCCAAGCTCCCCGCCGGAGACAAGAAGAAGATCGAGGAGGCGGTGGAGCAGGCTATTCGGTGGCTGGATGGGAACCAGCTTGCGGAGGTGGATGAGTTTGAGGACAAGATGAAGGAGCTCGAGGGCATCTGTAACCCCATCATTGCCAAGATGTACCAAGCGGGTGGCGGCGTCGGCCCCGATATGGACACCGGGATGGGCGACGCTGCCGCCCGTCCCGGCGGCGGTGCCGGTCCTAAGATCGAGGAAGTTGATTGAGTGGATCTGAGTTTGTAACTGTGAGTGTCATGTCTTACTGTTTTGTTTTGTAACTTTCTAGTGTTTTGTAAAATGAGCTCGAAGTTGTAATAAAAAGAGTGCCTTTTCCAGTTCATTTTGAGCACCAAATAGGCAAATAGGATTTTTATTTTGCTGCTCCACTGATATTTCAAACTAGAACAAGTTAAATACCAATTCAGGACAAATTTTAGTTTGAAAGATCAACCATACTAGAATATCTCATCAAAATTTATGTTTTCAAGTTCTTTCAAGAAAAATCATTTCCTTCACACCTGAATCATTAAAAAAATGGCATGGTACATAGATTCATTTTTCCCACTAACCGTCCAAGCCATTCATCCCAAACTCCATTAACAATCCACCACCTCTTTGCCTCGCCACACTTCGGCCACCGCCGCCCCATCTCCATCTTGCGACAGGCGGCGGAAACATATGCCTCAAGCAAAATGTGTGATGGACAAGAATTCCACCAAATAATCTGACTTGAAAAGACAGATCGTAAGAATAACTAAGAGACGAGAACTCGAGAATTATGAAATTGTACGCTAGGTTCAGCTTGAGGTTTTCCGTTTGGATCCTCTCTATTTATACATGCTTCTCTACATAATTAAGGTCGTTCACAGTTTATGGGAACTAATCTGAGATTTGCGCGATTCTGTTCCTTCGGCTCTTTTTTTGCAACCTAGACGCGTCTCCTTCTCTAAGATGGAGTTTCCACGCCGCTCCGGTCCGGGTCAGGTTAGGTCCAAGGCTTTGGGCCGGCCCACGGTCGACTCCACACGCCTATGGATACCCGAACACCTTTGGACACAAGGTTTGAGCCGCCCGTCAAGTATCGGCCCATCACTGGTACTCGAGTGGGGGACGGAGTCGGAAACGAGGAAAGAGTAATTTTGTGCTAAAGTTTACAAAGAATTGGAATGCTGGAACGTCTTCAAGTATTCAAATGGCAATTATTTGAAGAATTCATGGAAATTTTGAAAAGTACACTACCAAATGTGTGACGGAGTGATTCCAAAAACTGTTACTGAGTAAAAAAAAAAAAAGAAGAAGGCTACTAAATCTTGATGGATGGAGCAAGTAATATTGTACTCCGCATGTAACACTCCGTGAATAAAAACACTTTTTTTCAGACAAAAATTTGTTAATATTTTTTGGAATGTTTTAAAAACATTTTAAAAATAATTAATAATCCCATACACTTTTTTTTTTAAAGTCTGTTTGGTTGGAAAGATAATATTTTCTCAAAAAATTATTCGTACTTTTTAGTAGGAGAAATCTTTCCCTCAAAAAACTATTTTTTCATTGTTGATAATTTAAAATTGATATTAAAAACCGATACTACCGAGTACAATTTAAACACTTTTATAGCTGCATGAGGGAGGAGCGGGCGGTGCAAGACGGCGGGAGAGAATGCAGAGGCAGGTGGCGTGGAATGCCAAGTGGCGGGGTGGGTGGCATCGGGTGACGAGTTACGGGTGACAACTCTCACCGTGTACCCAAGTCCGGTGTCAAAAACATCTATGCATCTCACAAACATATGAAAATAAGGCACCTCAACATTTTCTGGGTGAAATAAGAAACACTGCTTGTATTAGTTGACGCCACCAAGATCAGACACATAAAATCATCAAACACTAAAGTAAAATCTCAACTACAAAGACCAATGAATGTGTGCACACCACACACCATTCACTCACTCCAAGGGGACGGGCGAAGGCAGACCCGGACCTCGTGCTCCTCGGGCCCCGCCCGGTGTTTGGGGACGAGAATCTCGAGCATCGTCCCGGACTCGTCCCCAAACGCCTCCAGCTTCGCGTCCTCCGGGATGCGGCTGTGGAGGACAATCTCCCTGACAAATTCCCCCGGAGGGCAGTGTTCCGGGGCGGGGTCCGTGAGCCTGAATGCCCTGTTTTGTCTTTTCACCGTCGGGGCGCACCCGGTGCTCACGCATGAAATCTTCACAATCCCATGTGAGATTGTGTTCCTCCAAGTCACTTTCACCCTCTTCAGGTCTGCAAATGGCATGCTGACAATGATCAAGAACCCCTCTTCGTCTTCGTATATGGTCTTCGCAGCGGTCACAGGGCCGTACGCGCACCTCATCACGCCGGAACATTCGCCCAGCCAGGACGGTTCGATCTGATGGAGGGACGGATCCAAGATTTTGTCTGGGTTTGAGCCGTTACTGGTGGATAAACACATTTCATCGTCGCCGTTCCTCTTTCTCTTGTTGCTCGCTGCCAACATGTCTAGAGGACCCTCTCCGTTTAGATTCAGACTCGAACCGTTGGCGGGTTTTTTCGGGTTCGGTTTGTCCAGATCGAAATCCGCGGTCGGGGAATTCCTCCAAGATTCAAAATCAGTGGCTTCGGGCGGGATGGAGAAGTTCAAATCCCTACCTGTTAGTTCCATCCACTTCTTCAGTTCGTCCTCATTGATGCCCGTGAGATTAGGGGACCAAACGATTTCAATCCCGTGGACGCATTGCGGGTTGGATAGCCCGCGGTAGTGTTTCCTCTGCATTTTGTGAGACCGGATAAACCCTTTATCCGCGCTGAACGGGAACGGTCTCTGTCCTTGGCGGGAGTGCCCATTCATGTAATTCCTCAACTGCATCTTCCCAAGCGCATTTTCCGGCCTCTCCTTGAAAACCCACATGTACATATTCTCCATGTCATGCTGAACTAGGAAAACATCCGAATTCAATTCGGATTTATCGAATCCCGAAACTACCCCTTTGTTCAAGCGGTTCCCGTTAGTAGCCTTCGACTTATCGCTAAGAACCGGTTTGAAGTAGAAGTTAAAGAAAAACCAAGCACCCCAAACACTATCAACCCTCTTGGCACACTTCTTCCCAATTTTGGTCCCATTATTACAGTTCGGATCCGCCTCGAAAGGCTGGGGTGCAAGCCCAACATCCAACCCGAACTCATCGGGGCTCGGGAAAGTGGTAGGGGCATCAGAAAGAGGGATGTTTATGTCAGGAGGAATAAAGCTGAGATTCATCTCCCTCTCGAACTCATCATGTGGCATTGAGGAAGAATCCATAGACAAAAGTGTGGAAAAATGATTGCTTTCCATTGATAAGGTGGTGACCACTTTCTCTTTTGCAGGCATCCTTATTTCCAAGAACTCAAACTACCCATTAACCAGCCAAACATGGAGAGAATAACCAAACCCCTTATAACCAAGCAAGGCACAACCAGTCAACCCACAGATTAATATCCATAAAAATCAGATTTTTTTTTTTCCCACAATCTCATCAAAGATGAAAGACCCACCAAAGATTGAAACTTTCAGAGATCAAAAAATTCATCAAACACCCACAAAAGATTGGATTCTTTAAAGACCATCATAAAAACACAAGGTGTAACCATTCATCCAGAAACTTCATATCCAAAAAAATCAGAAAAGATGTGATCTGACTCAAAGATTCAGAGAATACCCACTAAATATGTCACCTTTCAGAGATCAAAGAAGCCAAACATGGTGTTGAATCTGGGAAGACCTATGCCCATTCGAAATCCGGGTCGAACGATGACCCGGAAAAGTGTATGCTCTAGACAACCGGAGAGACGAAGACGGAGAAACAGAGATTTTCGGATACCTGAAAAAGAAGAAAAAAGGGCTCTGAATCGGCGAGACGAATGGGAATGATGGAGGAGATTGAGAAATCGGATTTGGGGTTTGAGAGACAGATACGCTGCGCTTATTGGCTGCGTCACTTGGAGAACGACGTCGTTTTAAGGGATGCGCGACTCGAGAGAGCCCGGCACGCACATTATCCCAAGCAGCTGGCTTTTTGGAAGACGGTAGTAGCTAGTGGCATCCAAATGACATCCTTTGCCAATGGCAATTGGCAAGGTGGCAAGCCAATCAAATGGAATAATAGAGGTAAGTACCGAATCGATAACGAAAATTCTCAATAAAAACAAAAAATGTTTGAATAATGATATTTAATCGAAAAAACACTGGGCCTGTTTGGGAATAGCATTAGAGATTAGCGTTAGCGTTTTGGATAAAATCTTAACGGTGCAGATTACTTTGAAAACGCTAACGCTAAACGCTGCCCGTAGATAGCCTTTTCAAAACGCTAACGCTAATGGCTAACACTATTCCCAAACAGGCCCACTATCAAACTACATTGAACTGAATATTCGCTTTGATATTTGGGAACTGATAGACCAAAACCCCCTGGGTGTGTATTTTTTGGTCTATTCGATATGTGTATAAAATATAGGAAATTTATGAACAAGAATATAGACAATAGACTTTTAACGTGGAAACCAAATCGGTGAAAACCACGGGCCTTTTTTGGCGGTACCATGCCAACGGGGATGTTTTATTATATCTCGGGGGCATATTTGTACAGTATATCGGCGTGATAGCCATTGATGGAGCTCGAATCTCCATCGAGAAGATGATGATGAACGGAGAGAGTACAATATGTGTGGAATGTAGAGGATGGCTCCCCCTTTCTTCTTGGTTATGTGTCTCTTATATAGCATCAAGGTAGGAGCTTAGGGTTAGGGTTCCCTAGCGGGCTCCTTGCGTGGACTGGCCCAATATCTTTAATTAGGCCCAAGGGATATTATCCCATCACAAGCCCCTCAGTTTCTTAGTGAACACGAAGTGTTGACTGAGAAACTGATGGACAATAAATCCACCAAATGATCCGATTCAGAAAGCGGATCGTAAGAATCTAATTAAGAACGAAAATTCGAGAATTGAGTATGTATTATTAGCTTGATCTTGCTTGAGTTCTCCCCTTTCGGGTCTCCTCTATTTATACATGAGCCTTAGACAATTAAGGTAATGCATAATCAATGGAGTCTATCCCGTCAATGACGCGATCCCCTCTTTCCGGCTTCGTCTCCGCCATTCGGTTCCGTCTCCTCTTTCGGATTGACTCTGCCAGCTGTTCCTAGACTGGTGGTGATTGGGCTTAGCCCTATGGACCGGCCCAAGCCTTGATATCCTCCAAGTGCTTGACCCAAATTGTTTGGATGATTCATTTGGGCCGCCCGTTGGATATTGGCCCATCAGGAACAATACAAAGTACTACGGGTAATTTCCCAGACTAAAAAATTCAAATCCAATACTTATACTTATATACTCCATTTTATAAATATAATAAATTTTTTTATAATTTTATTAAATAATAAGGTTATTTCAAAAAATTGGTTCAAATTTTATTATATGTACATTATATTATTCTTTTATTTGAGTTTCAATTTTTTAGATGAATCTAAAAATATTAACATACATTTGAAATACTATCATTTTATGACATTTTAAAGTTTGAATTAGGTGTGTACGTATTCATATCGATTTGTACTAAAACAGATACCAAACCATCCCAACCCATATCAAATCGGAAATTTGGAATCGAAATCGGTATGACATAAAATCTTACCAGACTGAAATGTTTGGTACGGTATCCGTATGAGTTTAATACTTTACCATGTTCAATCCTACCGAATACACGTCCAAATAATGTTGTTGTGTACGGTTCTAGAGTCATTCAATTTGAGTGGCTTCGAATGGCATCTACTCAATTAAGACACTCACGATACTTCATTTGCAAATTTGATAGTTCTTATCTATCCTAATCTCCATTATATTCATCCTCAGAGTCCCGACCAGGCGACCACAACTTATTCCCCCACCCCAATCAATTACACTTGGCAAGTTTAGTTAATTTTGGAGTCAGTATTTTTTACTCCAAAGTCACTTGCATGGTGCAATTGACGGGGGGGGGTTGGGTTTGGGATGGGAAGAGGGGTTATCAGGTAGGTTAGGATGGGTAAAAATTATCTATTTTGGAAAAGGAACTTTGTAAGTGTCCTAATTGAGTCCATATCCTTTGAAGCTACTCAAATTAAGTGGATCTAGAACCCCACTATTAAAATTATAATTAATTTGGAGTTTAAGTTCAAATAAAGTCAATATTATTCAGTTCAAATAAGTTCAATTCAAAAAGTTTCAATTGAAATAAATCTAACTCGACACATTAGATAAATAGTTTTTCGATAACATGCACTTAATAATCTTGGACCAAAACCACTAGTACATGTTGATACATTCTAAAAGATCATGTTTGCATGCATCTCAAACAAATTCACAAACAATAAAATTCAAAAACTACACTAACTCATGCCCCTAAATAATCATAAGCATTTACACAACATAATTTTAGCAAATTAAAATGAACTGAAGGGAGATTTTACCATAGCGTGGTTACCGTGGTATGAAATGGACCCATTCTCGTCTCTTGCGTTCTCTTGTCGCCCAATATGCTCTTCACGAGATCTTTTAAGCCCATTTTATGTGGCCCAACTAAATTAAGAATTTTGAATACTTGAATGTATACTTTTTTTGAAAACTAAAACATTGGAAGCCCATCCTTTCTCTATTTATTTTAAGATAGTTGTCTTTTTTTTCTTCATAGATAAATTTTAATGAAGCTTGTCTCTTGGATTGAGAGATAGAAAATTTACTTCTTAAGATACATGAAAAATCTTATTAATGTTCGAGTCTTAGCGGAGATATTAAAAAATAGGGACTGATATTGTTCTGTACTCCTTCAAAGATTTTTTTGTTTAGTATTACGGTCTCTCAATAACTCTTACTTGTTTGCATGTTTTTATTGATCATTTAATAAAATAAAATACTCTTATCAACTCTTATTTTGTAGATTTTTGTATGTAGTTTTTAAATATACATTTTTTTTATTTCTTTGCCAATTTATAAATAAATCCATTTTAAAAGTCACGAGATTTTGCACGTTGATCAAAGAAGAAAATTCTTTTAGGGCAGATGAATTATTTTTTATGGATCATAGACCAAATGAAACAATGCAACCCCTTTTATACAAAAAATTAAAAAATGGAATTTTATACTCCCTCCGTCCCAATTTATTTGCAACACTTCGAACGACGTGCAAAAAATTATCTCTTTTAAAATCACTTTAATTTTAAATTGGTAGAGTAATAAAAAGTAAAAATTACACCATTTAAAAGTATATGAAATGCTCTACAAAACAAGATGCGACAAGAATATTTTATTTTATCAAATGGTCAATCAAAACGAGTAAACAAACAAAAGTTATCGAGAGGCCGGAATAGTAAACGTGGCATTCTTTTTGGGACGGAGGGAGTAGAGAAAACTACTCTCTGCGAACCTATAAATATTTCGTGTTTTGACTTTTTTTTAGTCAAATAGTGACACTTTTTAACCATAAATTTTAAGAAAAAGTATATCTAACTACAATATAAATTTCATATAATTGGGATCATCGTATGATATAGTTTTAATATATCAAATTTTTATATTATTTATTTATTTAGATTATATTTAATTTATGGTCAAAGAGTGTCAGTGTTTGAATAAAAAAGGCAAAACAGAAAATGTTTTTAGGACTAGAGGGTGTAGAAAAATAGAAGAAAGTAGGGAAAAAAGAAAAAGTCGGAGTAAAATATTGAAAATATACCAAAATAGTACTTTCATGTTTTTTATTCCCAAAATAAGAATTAAAATGTATTTACATTAACAAACATGGTCATGTAGATTACCAAAAAGTATAGTAATGTGCACATGTACAGTGTCACATTACCACAGTGCGAAGTCTTATTTTAGAAATAAAAACATGAAAATCTTATTTTAATACTTTTCTCTATGTTTTAGTCCGGGTGATTTTTATAAAAAAAACTTTGGGTTTAGAAGTTGCTAGGATTGAGAAAGATGTGGAGTAACTAAAATCAACTTTTAATTCATTTTTCTAAAAGCAGCATCAAATTGAATTAAGAAAGGAATAATTCGTAACAAGTAATAAATTAGATTATCTTAATATTGTTCTTATATTCCCTAGTGCATTCTTTACAATAACAATAATTAATAAAGCAACTTTATTCTAAATGACTTTGGAACTGCATGCTTACTTCACAGTACAATTTCAACTTTTCATATTACCGTTTTAAAAAAATTGTCTAATCAAATCGTTTAAATTAACATTTTCATAATTAATTCGTGTCATCAAAAAATTATTCAAAACACTAATTCTAATTCAAAACGATCTTCGTTCACATTAATTCCTTTAGCATAATTTTCCCATTCGGGCCAGACACATATAATGGAATTGCTTAAATACTCTTTCATACTTCCTTTTTGTACTATAGGAGTAATTATTAGTAGATATTTCTTGATTTTTCTAGATTATAATATTATAAATCTCCTAGTGTATTCGTTTAGTTTGACTTGTTCGAATCAAACTATATGCACTTTTGAACTCAATTAAATAAAATTTGCAATGTGTATTAGTATAAAATTAATTTCATTAGATAGATCTCGTTTGAAATTTTTCAAAATTTAATTTTATTGTATTAATATGTAATACAAATTATAAATAATGGATGATTAATGTTCTCTAGTTTGACTCAAAAATACCAAAATGGACAAATATATTGGAGGGAGAGAGTATGTTTTTAGGCATGTTCTAGTGACACCGAAGTACGGTGGCACTCCGGTGTCACTGTTACTTTGGGGCATTTTCGGTGCTCCGTTTGCAAAATTGATTACTCCAACCCCGAACTACCACCCTAAACTCCCTACCCCGGCCCCCCTCCAAATGTGTGGTTATTATGCATTTGCATAATAGCCACACATTTGGAGGGTGGCTTGGGGGCTGGGGTGAGGCTAAGGTAGGGGGTTAGCGGGGTAGGAACCATCAATTTTGCAAACGGAGCACGAAGTGCCACAAAATAGACGAGTGTCGTTAACACTGAATTATATTTCAGTGTCAATGCAACCCCACCAATAAGTTATTTATTACTCCGTCCTATTTAAATCTGTATTATTAATTTTATTGAAGAGTGGAGTATTTACATTTATCTAGAGAGGAATGAGTACATATAGTGATACATGATTTATTTAATTTGTGCTGTCAAACAATTTTCATCTAAATTAATTTCACCAAACTCTAAGATTCTGTGGGTATGAGGTCCATCTCTATAACCTCTCTTTCCCTTGCCTTCACAGGCAGATTTTGCAGCATAAAGAATGCCAGCCCCATTCCCCTTCTTGTAAGTTTTTAACCCTTAGTTTTTTATGCCCTTTTTCTCCCTCTCTTTCAGCCTTTGCTTGGGGATCCATCCCTTAATGTATAGGGTATATGAATTCTGCTGACTTTTCACAAACAAAAGCAAAATCTGTTCATCTGTTCTCCCATATTTACCCTCTTCTCTAAATGCCAAATCTCTTGTTGACCAATAATAGATGAAAAAGATGAAATCTTTGAGGACAACAGGGGTAGCTTTGAGTGTGGTTTTTGGGTGTCTCTTGTTTGCCCTTCTTGCTGAGCTTTACTACTTGTTGTGGTGGAGAAGAAGAATCACAAGAAGAGGGATTGAAGATGGTCCTGGGAAAAACCTCTTCTATTTCTTCTTCCTCTGCAGGAAGAAAAAACAATCTCCCCCTCCCCCACCTCCACCTCCTCCGGTTCCATCTTCTCCCGACCCTGGGGTTTCAGTTCCGAAACCCCAGGAGGAGGAAATGGATTCGGAGCTGTTGAGGCTCGCGGGCCCACCGAGGTTCCTCTTCACGATAAAAGAGGAAACTCGGGAGGACCTGGAGTCTCAGGACAGGAGGAAACCAAGAAGAAGACTGAGTGATGTTCTCTTTCTCCAAGAAGATGGAGATGTGGACAACTATGCCCATTCTACCCCTTACTTCACCCCACCCCTAACCCCATTGAACCCTCTCTTTGAACCCTCAAATGGGTTTGGGTTCACCCCCATTTTGGGTGGTGGGCCCTCCCCACCCCCCACCTTCAAGTTCTTGAGAGATGCTGAGGAAAAGCTGTTCAAAAGGAAGATCTTGGAGGCTGAAGAAGCCCAAAGATTTCCCAAGAAAATGGATGTTTCTGCTCAAGTTGATGATGGGGATGAAGAAGAAAGGGGAGAAAATGGATCTTTTATTAGGCTGATTTGCCCAAGAAGAAGAGAGGAAGAGATTGAAAATGTGAGTGCTTCACAAGTTCTTCCCTTGCCCTCAGATTCACCATCAAATTAAATTTAATTTGATGAATCCCCCCTAGTAGAAGTGATTGACATGATGAAATGTTCTTTTTTTTTCAATCCATCATTTTTATTGAGCTTTGGTTTTTTTATTTTTGAAAAAAATTCATGTCAGTAGAGAATTTTACAAGAATAATCTAAGATTACAAAAGTATTACTAGCCCTATCAGAAATTTTTATTTCTTACAATAATATTTCAAAAATTGTATATTGCTCGGTGGTCACATATATACCGCAAAAATTGGGGGATCAATACAAATTTTGTTTTTTTTTTTGAAATACTATTGTGAAAATATTAAGGAATTATGGAACTGGAATTAGCGACAACAATTCCAATTTCATTAATTCAATTTAATTACATCCAAATCAATTTCATATAATTTCAAACTCCTAATTCAATTCCAATTTCATTAATTCTGTGTGCCAAATGGACCCTAAGGTTCCGTTTGTTACACGGAAACAAAACTATGGAATTGGAGTTAGAGACAATAATTCCAATTCTGATGTTTGGTTACATAAAAAATGTGGATTTGGATTTGGTATTGCCAAAAATGAATTGGAATTGGAGAATTCAATTTCATCTAAAAATCAATTTCATAGAATTTCAATTTTTCAATTCCGTCAATTCCGCATATCAAACGGACCCTGAGTTTCTAGGAGCACTGATACAATAATGTAATTTTGAATTATTTTTTGAAAAATTTCAATTTTTTTGAAGTATGCATGAAGTTTTTTTTTTTTTGCTATATTAATCCCAAAGTGGTACGACTGGGGGGTTATTTTTGCAAATTTTGACATAAATAACACAAGGACTAGAGATGTAATTTGCCCTTAAATTAATCCCAAGTGATATGACTAGGGGTTAGTTTTCATGATTGGCCATTTTTTATTTAGTTTGATTTCAGTTCCAATTAAATTTAAATGAATTTTAACCATTAATTAAATAAAAAGAATATAGTACGAAGTGCTTCATATATGATTTTTTGAAGCAAGTATATGATTAAATATTTAAACTAGAAGAATTTTTAATTACTCGTTGATTTTTTTTGGAGAACTATTGGTCAAATTGAGATACTCCGTAAATAATAAAATATGGATACTCCATAAAAACATGAAACACTTACTCTGATATATTAAATTTTTCTCAAAAAAGAAAAGATGAGCCCTATCTCCGAGGGCTCCCTCAGACCCGGCCGGACGGTCACGGAGAGGAGGTAAATTAGACTTTAATCGTAGATTCGTGGCAAAGAGTAGAACCTGCACCAGCTGATACTTGCAGAGTCTCGTCTCCCAGCGCAGTTGTCAGGAATCGAAATCAGTTCTTACCCTCTTGGCACCCCTTGCATTGTCAACTACACAACACCTACCTACCGGCATAAGTTTTTTCTCATTTTTATATTTGGGGGGGGGGGGAGGAGGGGGACAACATTCTACTGGGTAGTGGGGTGTTAAAAGCCAGATGGGAAGTAAAATGGGACACTTTTGTTGTTATTCAACTCCGATGTCTTCACAACCACAAGTGTGCACTATGTACACCTGTAATCATACCAATTCATCACTTCACGGACACCAATTCACCAAATTGTTAACACCTAAACAAAAAAGTTTTATTGCCGTAAAAAAAATCTAAATCAAATTATTGTCTTTATTAAAAAAAGATGAGCCCATTCATGGGTCCTCTCTCAGACTCGATCAGGCAGTTACTGAGAGAAGGTAAATTGGACTTTGATCGTAGATTGATGACAATTTCTATTATTCCTCTTATCTCTGCAAGTTGCTCGTTAGTAACGATGGGAGATTGTAGCACATATACTGAAACAGAGTTACCGTGGGCGGTTTCGTGAGAATGATAGTTAGAAGGAGATGGACATATCTTTGTTGCATGATGAACGAGGTTGATAGTGCGTTTTTTATAGTTTGCTAAGTTATTTTCAGCAATAGGTTAATTATTATTGGAGCGAGGACGAGAAGCTTATTTTCTCCCATCCTTTTAGACTGATTTCTCTTCACTATTGCTTCTCACTTTCTTGACCTATAGAAAAACATAGACCAGTTTTCTAATTTTCTTGTCACACCACTCACACGTGTGATAGCGTCAACGAAACCTTGTTATCCCTCCCTTTGGTTGGGTGTGAGTTTGTATTGATCTGAGAGAAAACGAAGTATAATTTGAAATTATGTGACTATAACTTACCCGACACAAAGAGATCATGTTTTTTTAGTTAAAAAAACAAATATATGATTTAATGCATGCTTCAAAATTCAAATAAACATTTTCAAAACCATGAACCTAAAATCAAAATTTGACTCATAATCAATTGAATTGTCATCCAAACGAGTCCCAAAGGATATGATACATTTTCCTACAATAGAGCAGGAAAATTGATTGATCAGGTTGGACTCGGGTTTAATTCGTTCGCGTTTGAGCAAGTTCAGGTTTGAAGTGAGAAATGCTTATTCATGACCAAGTATAATTACCACTACAAAAAACTGCTCAAATGGCGACGGAAAAATTCCGTCGCCAAAGCCTTATTTCCGTAGGGAATCGTCGCGACGACGGAAGTGGCGACGGAATCTATTCCGTCGTTGATTTTTCGTTAGTAGTAAATGTGACGACGGATATTTGATTCCGTCGCTAGTTTACAACGGAATTGGCGACGGAATTAAGCGACGGAACTAACAGATATTTATACGTTCATGTCCAATTTAACGGGTTATGAACATTTATGTTTAACACATTAAATTTATGCCAACATTTATATTTTACAAAAGAAAAATATAGTACTATGTCGTTATATTTTGTATAATAAATATAAATATAAAAAAATCAATATATATTACGGCTATTACATATTGTTTATGTAAATTTTTTAAATCAATTTTAAATATATACAACAATATTACTCCAAGTGTAAGTACGAAGTATATATACTAAAGCAATAAGGAAAATAAGACTCCTTGCTCCCTAATACTCCATACGTCCCGGAATATTTGTCCATTTTTGATTTTTTTTGTCAAAATTAGTAAACTTTGACCTCAAATTAAATAAAAATGATATTAGATATTGATACAAAAATAGTATTATTAGATTTATTACATTAAATATTTTCAAAATATTATTTTATCTAATTAATATACAATATATATTTTATTTAAGTATAGGTCAAAGGTTGAAAATAGTTAACCGAAAAAAGTCAAAACTGGACAAATACCCAGGGACGGAGGTAATATTATACTAGAGGTGCTTCTTTGATGCACGATTTATATAATTTTTGTGGATCTTCTTACATAAAGAAAATATTTTTTTTATTTATAAAAAACAATGCTGATTTAAGTAGTAAAGAAATGCTTATTTTATTCATATTTAGGTCTATAGTGGACCTTATGTCCACCATAAAATTTGTCATATACTAGTACGTAGTCTTCCATAATATAGAGTACCGTATTATTTTGATCACATTATATTTGGTACTTCTTCTGTTCTAAAAAGTATCAAAGTTCATTGTTCAAGAATTACTTGATTTTTTGTTTATTTGTATATTTTCTTTGATTATTTAATAAAATAAAATATTCTTATCACACTTTATTTTGAAAAATTTATGACGTTATTTTTAAATACGTAAATTCTAGTTTTTATTTCTACAATAATCTTTAAATAAAATGAATAAAAAGTTGAAATTTTGTTTCGTTTTGCGTGATGTGACACTGTATATAGATATTTCACAGTACTTTTTGGTAATGTATATGGTCATGATTGATGTTGTAAATGCATTTTAACTCATATTTCGAGAACAAAAATATGGATATCCTATTTTGGTAGATTTTCAATGTTTTATTCATACTTTAAACTTTTTTCATTTTCGTCACTCATTTTATAAAATAACATAGTAATATCACCTCTTGTTTTGTAAATTTTTATGTAATTTTTAAATATATAAAATTTATTTTTTATTCTACCTCTATTTTCATATAAAGTTATATAAAAATAAATTTAGTCAAATACAGTAAACAACAATAGAGACATTAAAATGAGATGAACGGAATATCTGATAACAAGTTGATTGTGTCATATTATTGTCAAATTTGAATTCAATTGAATTTGACCCACTATTAACATGTTATTTTGAGTTCCATCAACAAAATCTTCATCCAAAACTCATTACTCATTTGTTTTGAAGTAATAATGTTCATTTCTTTTTAGAGCATCTCCCAAAAAAATATTCATTTTATTTTTGAAAATATATTTATAACTTAATGATACGAATATCGTAACAGACAAAGAAGAGAGTGATCTTCAAGCTCTAGAAAAAGAAGGTAAAAAAGGAGAGAAAAACTCCGAGCATTTCCGAGCTTCAAGAAAAGAGAGACGAGAGATTTAAGGTTTTGATATTTCTGATTGAACTAGAAATAATGTACGGAGTAATTTTTATTGATTGTATTTTTTTAATAAATGAATTATTGTCGTTTAAATTCAATTAAACAATGAAATGTTATTAATTTTATTTTAGAAGATGTGTATTCAAAAATGTAAGAAATAGGGTTTGAAGCCTCAGTTTGAAGACCCGGGGCTTCAATCCTATTTCTATAGAAATTTTGATGTAAGTTAAAGGTGATGTGATAGAGAGAAAAAGTTTGAAGTCCCGACTTGAAGTGCTGGGAATTCATGATCATTTCCAGTACTCTTAGATGGTGCAATTGATGTAGCAATCCTTCACAAAAATCCGTAATGATTAGCCCCAAGTAAAGAGAGGGAACATTTTTTTTGTCTTTTTAGTTCAAGAATGAAAACACTAATTGATACGAATATCATATCGGATAAGAAAGAATTTCAAGCGTTCTTCAAGCTACATTAAAGGAAGGTAAGAAAGAGAGAAAAACTTTGAGTTATACGAAAAGACATGAGATTTAGGATTTTGAATTTTTGATATTTTTGATTGATTAAATAATAACGAAGAAAGATTACAATATATAGAGTAAATGTAACGGTGTTTGACCTAATTAGCTCGGGCCCATATGAAAACTCTAAACTCTATTAACTATATAATATTTAATAATAAATACTAATTAATTAATAATAAAATAAATATGTTAATCACTATAGATATCACTTAAATAGTTAAATTATTATTTTATCATTTACATTATTTTCAATCACATAATTTTATACTCCCTCCGTCTACAAATAAATTTTACATTGCGCGTTACGATGTTTGACTGAAGTTATTTTCAAATCATTTTATATGAAAAATGGTGTAGAGTTGAAAAATAAAAATTACATATTAAAAAACTACTCCATCCGTCCCTAAATATTTGCCACATTTGTATTTCCGAGGCAAAATATCAAGTTTTTTTCAATTAATTTTATTTACATATTGATATAGAAATAAAAAATAAAATTTACATATCAAAAAAACTACATGAAAAGTTCTTCGAAACAAAAGGTGTCAAGAATATTTTATTTTATCAAATAACCAATAAAAATGTAGAAATAAAAAAAAGTTCTCGCGACTGCTGAAAAAGCAAACGTTGCAAATAATTTGGGACGGAGGGAGTATATCAAAAGATCTACAAAACTAGAGGTGACATGACTATATTATTTTATCAAATGGGTGATAAAAACAGGCCAACAAAGTGAATAAAGTTTGACCCTACAAAACTAGAGGTGACATGACTATATTATTTTATCAAATGGGTGATAAAAACAGACCAACAAAGTGAATAAAGTTTGACTCTATGAATAGTGAACGTAAATTTTATTTGTGGATGGAGGGAGTATCAACCTATGCAGGTAAAGATCAAATCACCAGATTCCGGTTCGGGGCGACAAAATTCACTTGTAGTAAAACCTGGTTGAAATCGGGTCCAATGAAAATCAGGAGTCGAAAACCCTCATGCGAGTCTAAAACCTGAATTCGATAAATATGAGACTCTGCTCTTTCTCTGGCAAGGCCTGATTGATTTGCTCACTTCCGGAGTTTCACTGACCGGATTTACTTTTCCGTCGGCGGCGTTCTTGTTCTCCTCTTCCAAACGCATCATTTCAACAAACGCCTGGTGCGCCACACATGGGGAAAGCGCCGAAATCCTCTCTGCTCACCATAGCTGAAAAGTGCAAGGCGAATACTCATCTCCACCGTCCATTTCTCCTCTGTTATCTCGTGTACAGTGAGATTTCTAACATTAATTTGCATATTTTGCAGAAAATCTTGGCGTCAAATTGGCAAGGCACTCTTAATACCCTTAAAGCCGACGCTCAAGGAAGGTAATTTAGACTTTATATGATGTGGAACTGATATTTGTGGTGTATTTTTATGCTATTGGATAAATTTGAGCTTTGAGGTTATACTTTTGTATAAAAGTTGTGTTTTTTGTTGTTGTTGTTTTCCTCTTTCTATGTTTTCCATCTTTTTTCCCCTCAGCAAACAGGATGTACACAGTTCAAAAGTTAAGTACTTCATCAAGAAAGGGAAGCCGTATATATGGATACCCGAGAAGGACTTGCATAATGTGGTGTGTGTTATTTTTTGATGTCTTCTTGTGGATTCGACTGCATTGGCTGACTATAATCTTCTGTGCATAGTTGGATGTGCACAGAATGCTAAAGTATATGAGTGACAGAGGATAAAAAAACTAATAGATCCTTATTTAATGTAGTTATTAAATCTTCATCAAATAGTTTTTTAGTGTAGAAGGGTGATATCACACCATACTAGTGATTAAGTATAGAAGGATAAAATGAAATTGGAAAAAAAACTAACAAATGTGGTCTTAAAATGGTTAAAAATGCAGTCATGGAAGTCTAAAAGGAAATGCAAAAGTGCCATAGTTTTTGGAATGGAGGCAGTACTTGTTTTTACTAATTTTTTTTCTTACTGGCACTGTTGGATATACAATGGCACATTTCATATGAATTCCATTGCTATGTTCATGGTAGCTGTGCATTACATGCCAAATGCCATAAAGGGACATACGCAGTTTGGGAATTCATAGTTGTTGAGTCCATAGCGTTTAGGACTTGCCATCGAGTTGTATCGGACTTCCAAAATGACATATCTTTGAAAATTGCGTATGTGTATAATTTTGGTACTGAGGAGAACATGAGAATTAATACATATGCTTCTGCTTAGTGATTAACGCTGCCGTTATGCTGCAAAAAATATCAATGTCTAACAGCCTTGATTGATGCTTGGCATTTTTCAATTGAAAGTTTGCTTCACGATACAATCTCTAGGTTTTGATAAGTAGGGATAACACTATTAAGAAAAGTAATGTTGAGTGTTGAAAACCCAAAATAAAATTTTATGATATGCATCATAGGCTCATAGCCATTCAATTTACTGTTTGACACTTCCATCGATACCTGAGGAAATTGAGTTTTTTGGGGTGCAGAATGCTATTATTGATGAACGTGGCTCTTTTGCAGTAACATCTCCTTTCCCTGGCCAACTTGCAAGTCTGCTTATGTCGATAAAAAGGGTCTCTTTCCTTTAATAGCTGATTATGATAAGAATTTTTGGCTTATTTTCAATCTTAAATGCACAAGCCTACAATTTTTAGGGGAAATATTGTCACGAACTAAGAAAGACTCTTTTGTTTGTCACATATACAGCTTCCACCACGGGTTGCTGTAATGGGTGATGTATTGCCTCTTCCAAATAAAAAGGTAGTAATAATATCTCTCACTTTATCAATTGCTTAACCACATTATGCTCTTCAAGTATTCAGTAATTTTGCAGTACTGCTATATCCCCTCACCCCCACCCTTCTGTAAACCAATGTTTAGAAACGCTTTATTCCGTTAGTATCTTTCAATCATGTATTGCCTTAGTGTGCACATGCAATTGGTAATTGTAGGCTAATATATGTTCCGATAGGGTACAACTCTTTAAATTTATTACGGCACAACAATAAAAAAATCACTGATTCCTGCAACAAACAACAACAACAATCCAATTGAGTCCCACAATCTCGAAAGTAGAGAGACTATATCCAAAGAGACCCCAGGCTCAAGAACCACAGGTAATCATGTACGCAGCCTGAGCCTGGCCCCTATGTTTAAAACATAGAACGGCTGTTTCTGGATGACCCATGATGAGCGTCGAAAGTTGTATTGACTAACTGCTACTTCACTATTAAAACAAGCAAAGACAGTCTAAAGAGTCATTTTTCTTTATTCCATCATACCCCTAAGCCAAAAAATAGTGAATCTTTTGCTTAATCGGAGATGATTCCTGCCATAGACGAGTATTCAAAACTTCTTGGTGGGTCAACATGTTTTGAACACTTTTAAAAAATTACAATGAGTACACATATAATAATTTGGTATATAAGTTATTTCTTAAAGGGGATTTTTTTTGGAACAGATTGAATTGAATGTTCTAAGCACGTTTCGGCTGAATTAAAAGCTTCTTATCTAATTATCTTGCTACAGGAAGAGGTAATTTTTGTTAAGTGCTAAGCCCTGTTTTTCTTCTTATGCGCACAGGCTGCAATGGCTGCAGATAGCCTTCGGAAGATCATGTTATCAGAGCGTAAAACAATAAAAAAATTGAGTTATTCAGTTTCTGCTATATTGAGTTCATCAAGTCTCAGTTATGCGTCTCAAAGTGAAAACCTCCAGGAGTTGCTTGATGAGAATAACAAATACACAGTGTATAAGCTTAATATAAGGTATCAAAATTTCAGTATATCTTTGTATTCTTATGGATTTTCTTAGCTAGTGTGGCTAGAGGAATAACCATTTCCTTGGCTATACATGGAAAGTGAAAGAAAAGTGAAAAATATGCCAAGGAAAATAGTTTGTTTAGTGTTCGGTTTTACCCTGAAAATGCAAAGGAAAATCCATTCGGATAGTTTTAATTATTTTACATATACGTAATATTCTTAATAAAATAGAAAAATACAAACAAAATGTGTTGAACAAACAGCTAAAGTTNCCCCCCCCCCCCCCCCCCCCCCACACACACACAAACACGAAGTCTCTTTCCCTTTTTAATCCCTATTTTGTTTCTCTAGCATTTCACGGGGTCCAGATGGACTCTGTGCATATCCTTGCAAGTAAAACCTGGACATTATAATTTCAAATTACAAGTTTTTTTGCGAGAGTTGAAGTAACACACAAGTTTATGTGGTCTGCAGCTCTTGCATGTATATTGACAGCAAGGGAGGTAACCATGAAGTGGCTCTAGAAGATATTGAATCATCAAAGACAGATCCTTTATGTAAGCTCCTATAGTGGTTATATATGCAAGCAATTCTCAAGGACAAGGAATCTCTGTTTATGCTTTTACATTTTCATCTTAAATTCTTAGATAATTAATTCGTTGTCTACAGCGCCTTTCTGCACAAGGCTAATTGATGGAATCAATCGAAGTGAGATTAGGCGTAGAGCGTTAATCCTCTTCTGTATCACGCACTTGAACGAGAATGCCAAGGTACTTATGCTAATGATTCATATATTGATCACTCATTTGTTAATATTTTTATTGTTATCATTATTTTGATTAATAATAGTCCCCGGCGGTTTTTTTGACTCTGGATCCCTGTGTCATAATATGACACCATTCAATTTGAGGTTCCTACGGTCCTTTTAGACTCTCGAGTGGTTCCTACCCCCTCAGCCTACTAGCTTGCCCCTCCCCCACCCCAACCTCCCGTCTATTTGGGTGAATCCACTGTCGAAATATCTCTTTTTTCTTTTGGGATGGAGGGTGACAATTACCTTATAGGCGATCTCTTTTTTTTTGTTTGTTTTGGAAAGGACGCATTTCTCCTCTCGATAGACCGGAAAGGATTAGACGTCCTGGGAAAGGTTCTTGGCCCAATGCAGAGTGATGGCTCTCGCGCATACCAATGGAAAGAGTTCAGAATCACACTCAAAGAAGAAGCAGCTAACGTTGAGAAGTTCTGCGATCAACTCGTCGAAATGGAAGAGGAAGCCCTCAAGAGTGTCTCTAGTTTTAGTGGGATATGAATCAATTCTTTGTTTGAGTATTATTAACTTTATTACAATGTAGTATTTGTCTATATATACTTTCTCAAACTACGGAAACACAAAGAGTTAACACTCCACTAAGGTTCAAACCTATGACCTGAATCAATTCTCTAAAATGAATAGTTATTTGTACATTAAATGTTATTGATGGAGCTTTTGTGGTTGCGTCATGAGTCATATCAGCATCAGGCTGGCTGGCTTAAGGTGATAATATTTTTGCTATTCACATTGCTGCTAATCTGGTTTTGCAAGTATTGATCTAAGACTTGTTATCATTTTATTTGTGAACAGAGTATTCAAGTATTGATTTAAGACTTGTTTGAGAATAGTGTTAGAAATTAGCGTTAACTTTTTAAAAAAGTTATTTATGAGCAGCTTTAGCATTAGCGTTTTCAAAGTAATCTGCACTGTCAAAATTTTATCCAAAATGCTAATGCTAAATTTCTAACATTATTTTCAAAATTTTTTAATAAGATAATTAAATTGATTCTTAATTTTCAATATTTGAATTGACAAAATTAACGATGATAGGAACCACAAAAATGGGCGATTATCAACAAAATATTCATGATTTGATTTTGGTTAAGTTTAAGAAAATGTTTGAGAAGCAAAAATGTACCCTAAAAGTCTGTTCAAAGATGAGAGGTTCATTTTACCACCCACCTCCCCCCCCCCTCCATTTCATATATTATCTTCAAATTATGCTTTACGGTAATAGATCGAAATTATTTTTAATTTAATTTATTTAATAGTTGGTATAAAATCAACATTTTACGGATTCTATATGTAAAAAATTATGAGAGAAAGATTAAAATATGAATAATACATAAAGAAAGACTCAAATTTAGACCTTTATTTTTTTAATCCAGAATCGGACCTATAGTGCCAATAATGTAAACATATACTCTTTAATAACAAAAAATATTATGGAATGTCAATACATAATATCACATTGTCACAACATAAAGTTTTATTTAGGGGATAAAAGCTTTTCTGGTAATGTTTTAATTCTATTTAAAATAAGAGATGATACTCACTATTATTGTAACCTATGCCTAACGAAAATAAGTGATAGAAAACTAATTTGACCTTGTAGTTAAAATAGATAAAAATTAATTTCCTCTCTTATTAAATTTCCCATTTAATTTCATGAAATCTTAAGACTTTGAAAAGTTGAATATATGACATTTTATCATCCTTAGACCAATGTCTTCATTGGTAAGACTCCACGTGACTAAAAAGACGAGTTTCCCTATTTGACTTGTAACATACCAATAGTACTCCGTATTTGATAATTTGAAGTGTGTTAAAGGTACACTAAATTTTATTCAAACTTGTGACAACAATTATCAATACCATACATAAATAATTATTGTCTATATATATCTGCGATACATATGGTTTACAAGTTGAAGTATAAATTTGATGTACTCCTAACTTTATTCATAGTATTTCTTGTTGAGGTAGTGGGGTGATTTATACTACTCCCTTCGTCCCATTTTAAATTGTCTGTTTTGACTTTTGGGCATATTTAAGGAAAAGAAAAAATAAAGTTGATTTTCCAAAATTATCTTTATTTTTTATGAGGGGTAACGATGAATTAGAAGATAAAGTAAAGAAGAGTGATTTATTTTAGAGGTAATTTAGACATTTTATTTTTAATAGTTTTCGATAACAACTAACAGGCAACTTATTTTGGGACGAAGAAAAAAGGCAAACAAGCGATTTAAAATGAGACGGAGGGAGTAAAAGAGCTATTTTAAAATACTTGTTTATAGGAAAACATTTGTTTATAAAATAATTATAAAAAAATTAATTTTTAAAATCATAAATATTATACTTAAAAAAATATTTGTAAACTTAAAAATATTTAATATACGTGAATTTAAGACAATTAGTTATTATCAATGATTGTTTTATTTTACTTTTTTCCATGTATATGAAATGCAATACTTTAAAATTATCAAATTTCTTCCAACAATTATTAGTTTAATTTAAATTAAATTTAAGTTTAATTACACTTAATTAAATAAGATATACTAGATTTACTACCATAAATTTGGTTAGTGGTTACAAAAAAAGTCAACAAAACAATAATTGATAAATTTGATGACCCACAACGTGTCCCACATTACCGTTTCCAACCTGAAGGCATATTTTCATCGCCTTTCCAGCACTATCTTCCACTTTCACACATTTCTCTCTCCCATACCCCCCCCAAATATACATACATAATAACATAACCCTCCCATTTCGCAGAGACGAACCAAATAGCTCATCAGCAAACCTCTCTCTCATCATTCACCAATCGCTCTCACCCTTTTCATCGATCTCGATTTTTTCAAAAGGTAATTTCACTCCGTATATCGTTATCGATCCATGGATCCGTTGATCGATCAATTTGTTCTCGCATTCAATTGTCATTTCGCGATCTCTTGTTTTTTCGATGGAATCGTTGTTCGCTTTTGAATCGTGTGGATCTCGATGCTCTATGTCGATTTGATGGTCGCAGGAGCTTTTTTTTTTTGAATTGATGCAATGTGATAGTATTTGGATTTTGATTTTCACGAGATCGGGTTGAATCGGAGATCCGTTTCGCTTTGATTGTGGTGGATCTCGTTGTGCGCGTGCGATTTATGCTTTGATTGATGAGTTTTTTTTAAAAATCTGTTTCCTTGAATTCTTCTGCATTGTTGTGGAATTGTTAACATGTGATGCTTTGCATTATTATCACTCTACCAGAAATGTCGTATTGGATTGATGTTGTTTGCGTGCGTTTGGATTGAATGATTTGGAACTCTCGTATCCTCTTATGATAGCAACGAGTTTATACCGAAATTCCATTTAATCCTGAATGATGGATGATGTTTATGGATTGATTCATTTAAATTTGGTTCTTCTAAATTACTTTGGTTTTGTACCTTTTATTAATTTCTTTTTTGTGTGTCATAATGCTTGAGTGTTATGAATCTATGTATACAGTTTCTTAGTCTCGTCCGATGGGTGGGGAGATCATTGTTCTCCAGGCCCTGATCTAGCATTTTTGACAAAATTGCCAAATTTAACTCATGCCAATGAATTATTGATTCAAAGTTGTAAAGGGTCTCGCATTAAACTAAGTATTACATTTATTTTTCAGATTAATATAATTTGAAGTTTCCTTTCTCCTTGCAGAAGGTAGGATAAGATGGCAGATGGAGATGATATTCAGCCACTCGTCTGTGATAATGGGACAGGAATGGTTAAGGTATGGATATATAGTCATCATTTATATATGCTGCAACATCTGCTCAGAACAACTCATGTCTCTAACAGAACTAATTTTTCATTAAATTTTTCAAACATTGCCTAACAAAAGTGTTACAAAGAAGTTACTTGTGTTAAATTTTTCAATAATGACTCTTTTAGCTCCATTGGTAATAGACACAACAGATATAAGTATCGTTCATGAATCACGATTAATCTCACAGCTCCTGTCTAAAGTAAAAAAAAAATTGCATTGGTTGATTTTGTTTTTGAAAAGAGGCTGTAGTCGCATCATTACCCCCCTACAATTGCTTATTATCCATTTTATTTATAGGCCGGGTTTGCTGGAGATGATGCCCCACGTGCTGTGTTCCCTAGCATTGTTGGCCGTCCTCGTCACACCGGTGTGATGGTTGGTATGGGCCAAAAAGATGCATATGTAGGAGATGAAGCTCAGTCAAAGAGGGGTATCTTAACACTGAAATATCCTATTGAGCATGGTATTGTTAACAATTGGGATGATATGGAAAAGATATGGCATCACACATTCTATAATGAGCTCCGTGTTGCCCCTGAGGAGCACCCTGTGCTCCTTACTGAAGCACCTCTTAATCCTAAGGCTAACCGTGAAAAGATGACTCAAATCATGTTTGAGACATTCAACACACCTGCTATGTATGTTGCTATTCAGGCTGTTCTTTCCCTGTATGCTAGCGGGCGTACCACCGGTAAGAGAACTCCACTCTTTTCTTCTTGTCAATTTCCATTGTGTATGTATGGATCTAGACTATGCTAGGAAACGTAGAAACATGGCAGATGATTTTTTTCTTTGTACATTTGGAATTTTTTTGAAAAATGAAAAGCAAAATGGATCACTATATTCTTATTTATTTTAATTTATATTCATAATTTTTAGACTTGTATATACGCATAATAAACATAAATAAATAGAGACATCTTTAAAAAATAAGGAGTAAAGTTTAGCGTATGCTTGTTACTCATATTCTATTTCCTTCATATAATCTTTCCAAGTGTTTCCTGGTATTCTAACGAATCCTTAGAGATTTTCATGTAATTGATTACTATCTGCATGAATGGTTGCCATGCACTCCCCAGCCCAAAAAAAGGCATTTTTAAACCATTAGGTCCAAATGAACTCCATCTGTGCAAATGAGGCTCTTTTTGTTAAACACCAAAAAGATATTACTCCGTATGTAATTGCATCTTATAAATATTGTTATAGGGCCAAATAGGTTAAAAAATACAAGTATGTTTTATGATTGTTCTACCTTACCAAAACTAAAAAGTTCTACATTGGTCAAACACTATTATTTTTGTGGTTCAGATGGATCTAATGACTCATAACATTCATATTCTTGAACCTACCTTGTTACAGATATCTTGTTTGAACGTGTGAGAATTAAAAGTTTAATTCCAACACAATTTAAAGTAAACTATAAGGGTTCACTTTGTTTTCTTGTCTTCACAGGTATTGTGCTGGACTCTGGTGATGGGGTCAGCCACACCGTCCCTATCTATGAAGGGTATGCCCTGCCACATGCCATCCTTCGTCTCGACCTCGCAGGTCGTGACCTCACTGACTACTTGATGACGATTCTCAAAGAGCGTGGTTACAATTTCACCACCTCAGCAGAACGTGAAATCGTGAGGGATGTGAAAGAAAAGCTTGCATACATAGCTCTTGACTATGAACAAGAGCTGGAAACTTCAAAGACAAGCACCTCTGTCGAGAAGAGCTATGAGCTGCCCGACGGGCAGGTTATCACCATTGGCAACGAGCGCTTCCGTTGCCCGGAGGTACTTTTCCAGCCTTCCATGATCGGCCAGGAATCTTCCGGAATCCACGAGACCACATACAACTCTATCATGAAGTGCGACGTGGACATTAGGAAGGACCTTTATGGAAACATAGTGCTCAGTGGCGGGACCACCATGTTTCCGGGTATTGCAGACAGGATGAGCAAGGAAATCACGGCATTGGCTCCTAGCAGCATGAAGATCAAGGTGGTGGCGCCTCCTGAGAGGAAATACAGCGTTTGGATCGGTGGCTCTATCTTGGCCTCTCTCAGCACATTCCAACAGGTCCCTCTCTTTTCTCTTCTCTCGTACATATTTCGGATTTATGAATGATCGTTGTGGAGACACAATTTTTTTAGCGTAACAAACCTCAACGAAATCGGACTTTGCACTAATTTCGTTAGTTAAAATGTATAGCTCGTCGGTTCGGTTTCGAATGACCTATTCGATTGACTTGTATAAATCTTTGTTTGTTTTTTGTTTTGTTGGTGAGTGCAGATGTGGATTGCAAAGGCGGAGTATGACGAGTCTGGTCCATCCATTGTCCACAGAAAATGCTTTTAGTTTTTTCCCACAAAAAATGAAAAAAAAAGAGCAACTATTGTTGCTGAAATGGAGGTGTATTTATTTTTTTCATTTTTCATTTTTCATTTTTTTTTATTTTAATTCCTGCTGAGTCGGAAGTGATTGAGGTTTTAAAGTTCTTCTGTACTTCAATGTTTTTTTTTGTGGCACATTCATTTTTCACACCACTTTTGTTCACATAGACATACACTTGTGATATAGTGCTCGTGGGTTTATGTACGAGTTTCGCGTCTTATTTTGACAGTTTTGAGTGAGAAAAGAAATGAATGCTTGTTTTACACCTCTTTGACTTTCGTGCACAAAAGGACTCAAAATAAGGCTACGTGTTATGTCGGCTTGATGAGGTACCACTTAAGTGTCTTGTAAGCGGGTACGTGCAAACAAAATATGTGCTCTTTCCGTCCCTTATAACATTTCAATGTCACTTATTATCAGTCACATAATATATTTTCAATTTCGTCTAAATGGACATAATTATCCTTAATTTTCTTAAATCTAATCGAATGTACCTTAACTGCCTTCTACGTTCTATCCATTTTGATATTTTTCAAGTCCAACTTGTTTCAATTGCCGTCATTTTGCCTTAGTCAAACTTCTATATCTTTCCTTCTCAAAAGTAAATCATAAATCCATAGCATGTTTGGATGTAGTTTTTTTTTATATTTTTATTCGCATGGCATATTGCTCAATGACTTGATTTTTGAAAGTGGAATTAACACTTACCCTAAAGTCAAATAGATATTAGATCTAAAATAGACCATAATGGGGTGTCCTGATGCAAATCTTGGCCTAGAGGAGCTAGGGGATCTTATTTAATTAGGACTAGACGCCTAATCTAATTTTGAAATGACAATTTTAAACCATTGAGTGCATTCGTTGTTGAAATTAACAAAAAACAAATGTTACTTAATTCATACGGGATTGCACAAATTGGTTTTAAATGATTTCAATAGTTAAGTGAACTTGGATCTGGTTCATAAGTTATGAAGAATACTCGAATTTAATATTTGGCATTTACCTAGCATCTGGTATCATACTATTATGTATGCAAAAAATACGAAGAAAGGTTGATAATCATTTCTTTAGTACGTAAATTAGTTGTAAAATCGGTGAAATTGATTAAAAAATCCGCATTTTATTAATTTATTTTATATGAAAACTATAAATATTTTTAAATCAACCGAGGCCTTAGACCTTTGATCTTTTTTATTACAAAATATAGAGAATTATGTTATTTAATTAGAAATATTTGCACTAAATAGCACTAAAACTTAAGTCATTTCCCTAAATAGCACTTAAATTGTTTTATTCTCTAAATAACACTTAATAATGTCCATAATGTCCAATAATGACAAATATTTACTTGAATAATGACTAATGTATAATGACTAAAAGTGCTACATTGGAAAGAAAAACACATGTGGTGCTATTTAAGAAAAATCATTATGTTTTAGTGCTAATTAAGTAAATTCTCCCTTTACTTATGCAGAGTATGTCTTATAACTACTCCACCGAAGCCCCCGGACTCATCACCATCGACTTCAAGAGGATCTCTTTATCATTAATCAACATTTTTCAAAACAAAGTGAAATTTTTTATTTTCCAAGAGATGTAAGAATTTACTTTCCAAGAGATGTAAGAATTTTTCTTCACTTGAGAAGAAGTAAAATTTTCATTTCCCTGGAAGGCATGAGACTGATACAAATATTTAATTAATTATTTACTCCCTCCGTCCCATTTTGAATTGCATGGTTGCCTTTTTTCTCCGTCCCAAAATAAGTTGACTGTTAGTTGTTTTCGTAAACTTTTAAAAATAAAATACCTAAACTACCCCTAAAATAAGTCACACTTCTTCACCTTATCTTCTCATTCATCATCACCCCTTCTAAAAAGTAATGTCAATTTTGGAAAATCAACGCTATTTTTTATTTTCCTTAAATATGCCCAAAAGTCAAAACAGGCGATTTAAATTGGGACGGAGGGAGTATTAATTAGTACTCCCTCCGTCCCGTGAAACACTTCCCCTTTCTTTTTTTATCCGTCCCACAAAACATTTCTCATTTCTATTAAAAAGTCACTTTTACCCTTTACTTTTTCATACCCTAACTATCACATCATACCTTTTTCCTAATAATCTATACATCAAATCATACTTTTACCCATCACATCAAAGGATATTTTTGGAAATTCAATACCAAAATACACTCCCTTAAATCCCTCCTAAAAAGCAAATGTCTCATGTTTCATGGGACGGAGGGAGTAGTTATTTTATTAAAATTACTTCGTATATAATTATCATGCTAGGATTTAGTATGGACCAAATCCTATTTGGTCGTTTAGAATGCTCCCCCATCACTATATATTATAACCCTTTTATCATTTCGAATCAATAAATAACAATATCAAACTCTAATCTTTCTTCACTTTTTTTGAGAGCTCGGAAGCGCTCGAAGTCTTCTATCTTTCTCGTCTCCTTTGTTCTTGGTGTCTAAAGGACACTAAAAGTTCCATATCCGATACAATATTCGTATTAGGGACATTTCATGCGAGAAACTAAATTTATTTGTGAGAAACTAAATTAATTCAATGTGGATTTCGTTGAGATTAAATGATCCTCGTAAAAAATGTAAATCAAAAGAAAATTTGTGTTAACCTCATTACTAAGAGACTTGTAAAAAGACTTACGGAGTATTTAACATGTTATGTGACACATTGACCGTCAACATCATACGACGGAGATGTAGATATTGCAATGGATGTGTAGGCAAACGAATGAGACGGTGTTAGATGTGATTGACGTGTGGTATTGGCACTTGTGGAGGACAAGCTACGAGATGGTTGAGATAGTTTGGTGACGTGAAACAGCGTGCAACTGAGGCTCTAATGCAAAGATGTGAGATACTTATAATAGAAGGTGCATTTGGAGGAAGGGTAGACATAAGAAGAACTGAAAAGTGATTAGACATGACTTATGATTTCTAACTCTTATCGAAGATATGACCTAAAATAGAAACATCTAAAGATAAAGAATTGGATAGTTGTTTGGATTGAGGTGGTAGTCTTGTCCTTGTTGTCTTGTGCTTTGCAGGATTGGGATCTTTCTCATTACAAGTGTTTGGCTCTTTTATCTTGTTGCACTTTTTTGTTGCATTTCTACTCTTTTATCAAAGCATTGTCTTAATCATTCTCATGTTAAGAAGCAAGTTCAGTTGAAGAGGTCTATAAACTTAATTAGCCGCAAAAGGTGTCAACGAATACTACATTGTTACATACATACAGACACCGCTAAAGAATTAAATAGTACACCGAGCCTCTACAAAGGGGGTTATGTTACGTGTTTCTCGCAATCAACAGTAGGCTTGCAATGCATGCATGTGTGGTAGACGACGACAATGGCCCTTCAAGCTTTGATCGCGGTGAGGTATTTGCACGTACCGTTCCCTGAGACAAAATGCAACAAAAAAGGATTAATATGCTCCCATAGTGGATGCTTTAATATGCTCTAATATCTCTAGAACACATCCACAAAATTTTACAATAAGATGTAGTTTCTATAAATTTTATGTGTTAAAATTTGAGTAAATTCTATAATTGCTCCTTTATAATATGAGGGTTTCCCTATTTAGTACTCTATTATCAAATATTATCCAAGTGGTCCTTCTTTTATGGGTACCTTTCCACAAATAGTCCTTTTTTGATCTTCTATCATGTTGGTGTTAATTTGAGGGCTAAAAGTGTAATTTCACAATGATAATATATCTTTTTTGTCATACACAATTCCAAAGGCTGTTCCGTTTGTGTCGTTTGTGAATTACAGTCGCTTTTTACGACAACGATAGTCTACAAATGTGATCTTTCGTCAGAATCCTAGCCCACAATCATAGTCATTATTTTTGTGTTATCCGCTTAACCAATATCAGAACACGTCACTAGACATAATGTTGATGTCAAATTATACTTTTAGCCTTTAAATTAACACCAACACGACAGAAGATAAAAAAAAGACCATTTGTAGAAAGGTACCCTTAAAAAAAAGACTACGGGGGTAATATTTGATAATAAAGGACTAAATATGGAAACCCCCATGTTATAAAGGACCAATTATGGAATTTACTCTTAAAATTTTTATAGTCTATAAATCTCGATGCAGATGTTAAAAGTAGAGAAATTATATCAACTTGAAAGTTTCTTTGATGATACAAAAATGCCACAAAAAATTACTTCCTATGTGCTTAATAAAGCTTTCATCTTTGTTGATTCTTTGAAGTATTTTTTTTATTTTTGTAATTGTGAGAGACTCATTATTTTAGGGATTGAGAGCCTCATTTTAAGACGTGCACAAGGCCCTGTCAAGGAACCGACTCAACATAAAGTCCAAGCTTGAAGTTGTAAGCCCAAAAAAGATTTTATATTCTAACACTCCCGCAAAATGTGGAGATCATTTCATCACTATAATATGGGACTGAGTGTTGGTCTGAACTTTTAACCGACCAACGATCAGTCCCATATAACATAGTGCAAAAGAGGGAGAATTGAATAATACCTTGAGGGATGGAAGAGGCTATGGTGGCGGTGCCAGAGAAATCACACTGGAAGTCATGACGGCCCTTTGTCTGATAAAAGGCGTTCATGACGTACGTGGCATGAGCTCGGACGTTGTTCGGGTTGAAGCACGAGCCTCCCGGTTTGATAGGGTGGCAATCCACCCCTTGGCTGCACACATAGTTTATGTTTGCTTGGAGCTGCCCGTCATTTGCATTGGGTTTGGGCACGCAGAATTTGCTCGTTCCTCCTGGTCTCGGCCTCGGCTGCATCCCCAGCCATATACAAACAAGTTAAACAAAGAAACTAACACACACACACACACAACACAACACAACTTTAATCTGGGTTTTACAACACTTTGACAACATTGACATCTCTCATTTGGATTGTTTTTATACAAAACCCATAGTTGGATTGAAAGATATTATCACGTAGATCAATCTCTTAAAATTTCATAACATTCCGAAACCGTTTCAACGCCAAATCATACCATTCTTATTTTCATGAGTTTTAAAGGTAAATAATCTACTCCCTCCGTCCCGCAAAAAAAGTTCCCGTTTTGACTTTTTGAGGATTTAAGGAGAGTGTATTTTGGTTTTAACTTTCTAAAAATGCCCTTTAATGTGATGGATAAAGTAGGATGAGATGGATAGATTAATGGCGAAAAAGTGTGATGTGATAAGTAGGTTAAGAATTAGTAGGGGTAAAAGTAACTTTTTAAAAGGAAAGGGGAATTTTTTTGGACGGAAACTTTTTTTGCGGGACGGAGGGAGTATTTTATTATATTCCAAATCTTTTTTTAAAAATTTGTCCATTTTCTATTGTTATCTTCCCCAAAAAATATTTACAATTTTCTACCACGAAAATAATTTACGCTTCACAATATTTAACTTTTCTTTTTAACTGAAAACACTTAAACAACCAAATATATGCACAACAAACGATAATTGCCGAATAAAGTTGTTATTCACATTTTATTTCAATTTGTTTTTTATAAATATTTTCGAGTTTCTTGTCATAATTTGTCTTTGTTTTTTTGATATCCAATTGAGATTAGCATCATTGATATATTTTTTGAAATTAATTAAAAATGTTTTGGGGGTAGGTAAAGCATTTTTAATTATGAGATGCAGGGGACAAGATTCAAATTTCAAAGTAAAGCATGACAATACATACAAGAAATTGAAGAGGGAAAATGCTTCTTTCACAAACATAATGTACACAAACTTCACAAACATACTATTTGTGAACTTCAATAAATAAAATTAAATAGTCTAAAATAATTTTAAAATGAAAATTTAATCCATAAATAGTAAGTTTGTGAAGTTTGTGAATATCTTGTTTGTTTGTGAAACCCTGCTCATTGAAGATTAAAGAATTCGAAAACTTCCTAAAAAGAATACCCATTTTCTTGATATGCGCAAAATCAACTTGTCCTTTTCCAATCACGGGACTCCTTACTATACCCTCTCCCTCTCCCCCCAAAAAATTTACCCACTACATAAAATACTTTGAACAAATTAATCTAACATTTTTTTTTACTCTTCAACATTTTTCTTCCACAACGTAAAAGTGAAATTAGAAAAGGTTTTATGAGATAGAGATGTATGAACTTAGTGATGATATTTGTTACACATCAAAAGTTAAATAATGTAGACATAATATATGACTATAACCATTCAACATTTAATGTTTTATTAAAATGAATTGATAACCAGTATGGTTCTTTTGACATTGAAATCCAATAACATGGTATAACATTGGTCTATTTGAAGTTCCAACGATACTCCCAAGGGTCCATAAGTGATTCTTACGCAACCCCAAAACCTCACCTGACCCGAGTTTCCATCTTCATTTAGTCGAATTGCTACTATAGCAGATCGACAAACGGAGAAGGATGAAGGGGGGAAGAGGTTTTGTGGGATACAAATCACATTTGACCTAAGGCTAATGGAATACTTCATATGTCCCAAAAAGAATGTCACAATTCGTACTTGAAAAATCACGGAGATTTTATTTACTTGTATGTTTTCATTAATTATTTGATAAAATAGAATATTTTTATCACATATTTTGAAAAACTTTTAATGTAGTTTTTGAATATTTAATTTTTTTTTTTATTTCTAAATTAAAACACTTAATGATAAATGAATAAAAACAATTAGTAATGATTAAAGGAATAAAAAGTCACATGATATAGGACTTTTTTTTATTAAAAGACCACCCTACCCTACCCTACCCACCTGGCAGTGAATTAGGAGGTGGCCCATGTGCCCCATGCCAACCCTAATTAATTACGGTGTTACCAAACAAACGTCAGAAAGCAACCCACTAGATTTTGTCTTCTGTACTCCGCAGAATGTAACTTTAATTCACCGGTCCAAAAGGTGGAATCGCCCACCCAGGCGCCCCCACCCCCTTGCCCGACAGGAATGGTGGAGGAAGTAAATCATGGTGACTCAGTCGGCCAAGAACGCTAGACCCGTGCCCACCGCGCACAAGGAGCCTCCTCACCCTTTATGGGATTTTTGGATAGCTCTCACACTACCGCTTGCGGGACTCGATCCCTGGTCATCGGTCCAAGATTTCACGCTCTTGACCAACTGAGCTGCCCATGCGGGCAATGTAACTTTAATTCACAACCAAGTATGAAGTGGTTTTTTTGTTTAAGTACTGCTTCAAATTTTTTCATGTAAAAAAAAATGATGCACAATGAGTGAGTTTTTTTAGGAACCAAAAATATGTGACACTGAAATTAAGGGTCATATTTTGATAAAAAACAAACTACGGTGTTCCGTAAGTAAAATTGATGATTCAAACCACCGGCCCTTAGTCCGATACTTCTAAAAATAATGTTACACTTAGACTCTGTTATTTTGGATGGAAAAATTAATTTCAAATTTTTTCATTCCTTTCAGATTTTTATAACACCTTCCAGTTCCTTCAATGATTTAAAAAATGTAATTATATATGATGAACATACAATTAATTATATATCCAAATTTATAAAGTAATGAATGAAACACAAATAATGATGATTTTTTTGTTCGAAGTTAAAATTTTCTTATATATTTATTTGGATAATCATTTAATTGAGTGATTTTTAACACTTAAATGCTTTGAACATTTTCTAAGTCCTAATTTTTTTCAATTCCTTCTAGATTCTTCTAACTCTGAAAGAAATTCTAATCCAAAAGAACAGAGTGTGACACCCTCTACTTTTTAATTTTCAATTAAACAGAAATATATTTAATTAAATTAAATTAAATCCAGTTGAAAATGGAATAATTTTTACCTGTGGCTTAGGACGAGGCTGCGGACGTGGGCGCAGTCGGGGCAAAGCCGGAACCGGCTGTCCCTTCATTATGCCAATGCTATAAACCGGGCTGAAATCCGGCCGGAAAAGCCCGAAATTCCGCTCGGCCGTCGAACCGGGTTTCTGGTTCTCGTTGAACAGGGCGAATATATACGTCTCGATCCTCGCGCGCGGCATCAGCGGCGTTCCGGCGCCGGCGGCGTACTTCCGCATCAGCCCTCCGTTGTACGACGCCGCGTTCTCCACCGTGCACTTCGGCTCGTACGTCTCCCCGGCGGAGGCCCACCCCGTCTCCGCCGCGACGATCTCCACGTCCGCGTACCCCAGCCGCCGCATCGCCATGAACACGGCGTCGAGGAGCATGTCGAACATGTTTCCGTACGTCCGCTTCGTGAACCGGTCGACGTAGCCTCGGTTCGGCCGGAACAGTGCCAGATCCGCATTTTTCGGGCTGTAACCGAAATACGGGTACGGGTTCACCATAAACGGGCCTTTTGTCTCCCGGAGGAATTTCAGCATCGGCGCCAGGATCCCGACGTCCCAACCGGGCCTGAACCGGCCCATGCTCGGCGGGTCGGATCTCAACATAATCCCAAGGGAATGCGGGCTCGAAACCTATTGGAGAAAAAATTTACATAAATATCTTGAAACAAAAAATTAAAAAATTGCTAAAACAACAATAATAATAAAAAATTGATATCGTGAATAATAATTTATAAATTTGTATGAACATAAGATAATGGCCATGATTAGCATGCGATTAACATTAGCATTTTGAAAAAGTAATTCAACGATAGCGTTTGCATTATCAAAATTAATCTGCACTATTGAAATTTTATCCAAACTGCTAACATTAATCGAAATTATATCCAATACCGAGTAAGCTTTTTTGAGGAAAAAAAAAGAAAGAAAATAAGATACATTTCGAATAATGTGTAAGATTTCATCATTTTTAATTTTTTTAGTGTAGAAATAAAAATTACTCGTATAAATTAAACCATTTAAAATTACGTAAAAATTCTATTTCTTTCGTCCCACAAAACATTACATAAGAATTCTACTTCCTCCGACCATATTTGAAATGAGTAGGCTTGGGAGACGGGAAAAATCAAAATGGGTAGGACGTCGAATTTAGTTGAGATAGGTTCAGTTAGATTTTAAAAAAAGAAGAATTATATCCATTTATGAAAAATGAAATATTTTATGAGACATGTAAATTGTGAAAATTGAAAGTAGACAAGAGGTGACAATCAAATATCATTGAAAATATACAAACAAACAAAATTTATAGAGAGGTTTTTATTAGTGACAATGGTATCCATTTCGAGACGAAGGGGGAGCTTGAGCATAAAAAATATATTTATACAAAATTATTTTATAAAACACTATATGATTTTTATTTCATTATCCATGAAAGTGTGATCTTAATTAATTGATTGCAAAAAGTTAAAAGTGTAGAAATATTTTGAAAGGGAGCTAGGAGTATTACCTTAATATTGTTAATTCCGGATTGAATCAGAGCGCCGTATAAGGTTCTCATGGCGGCGACAAGGTTGTTCTGCATCTCCGGCGTGCCCCAGTGGAGGACCTCGTTACCGACGGCGATAATATTGATCTTCGTGGCCGGGTAGAAGGGCTTGATTTTGTCGGCCACCCATTGGCGGGCGTATCCGGGGTCCGTCAACGGGAGGATCTCGCCGTTGGGGACGGTGACGGTGACGAGAATCCCGGTGCCGGCGAAGGCCCGGAGAATGTCCGGGTTGACGTCGAATATTTTGATCCGGTCGATGACGGTTTTCTCCTTGATGAATTGTGCGACGGCGGCCGGCGGCGGGAGGTTGTCGCCCATGGTTCCATAGTTGACACCTATGGAGTCGGCGGCGGGGAGGAGGAGGAGGAAGAGGAGGAGGAGAAAAACAGGGGAGAGAGAGATCGGAAACAGAGATTGTCCGGCAGACATCTCCACCATTTTTGTTCTGTGTTTTTTGACCTTCGAATGTTTTGATTTGTTTAAGAAGGTGACGATATATATATGTAAGATCTGTATTTATATATATGTGAATGGGAGAGAGAAAGACGGGAGTCAAAAATTGTGGTCTGAGGTTTCTGTTTTTGATAAGGGTAATGTTTTGTTCCTTTCTTTCCTTCTTCTTCCTCCGTCCATGACTCCATGAGAAAGAAAAAAAGTTCAAAAATAAAAAAAAAAACAAGTGTGGTAAATATTTTGCGACGGAGGGAATATAGAATCTATTATACTCCCTCCGTTTTTCAAAAGAGTTCCTCTTTTGACTTTGGGGGAAAATAAGGAAGTGTTAAATTGTAATTGACTTTCTAATTTTGCCCTTGATGTGATGGATAAAAGTAAGATGTGATAGTTTAGTTGTTAGTGAAAAAGTATGATGTGATAGGTAGGGTATGAAAAAGTAGGGGTAAAAGTGGTATTTTAATAGAAAAAGGAAGTGTTTTAAGAAAAACAAAAAAAAATGAAAGAGGAAGAGTTTTAAGAAACGGAGGGAGTATATAAGATACTCCGGATGGTATGTTTGGGAACATGGATTTGGATTTCAAATTCGGATTTGGCTTAAATTCCATGTTTGGGAAACTTAAGCATTTTGAATTTGGATTTGAATCAAATTCTTTACATTCAAAACAAAGCTTAATTTGAAATCCATGCATCTCCCCTTGTCATTTGAAATTCAGGATTTCAAATTATGAAATTGAAATGCATGAATTGAAATGAAATACTAGTTCCCAAACACTACCTAAATGGAATCAAATTTCATTTAAATCAAATTAAAAAATATTGAAATTAGACAATGAGAATATTCCGAATATACTCCGTATATAGTTTCTTTTAAGAAAAGGGTGAAAAAGGAAGGTAAAGTATTTCTAACTTTGGTAACAATGAAAATGTTAGCTGGAAAGTTGCCGGCACGGGTTTGTGCTAAACTGCACAAAATGATTTTTCGTTTCCTTCAAAAGGGGCCAAAGTCCGGAATAAAGCTACCCGAGGAATCCACAAATAGGTTTAGAAAAAATATTAAATAAAAATTTCATGTTTTTTATCTCAAAATAAGATTATAATGAAAATAATATCAATATATAGTACCAACATTAATAAAGTATAATGTTACTATACAATGTCATAATATCATGGTGCAAATAAAAATATTGAACTCCTATTTTGAGAAAGAAATTATATTTTTACTTATATTTGGGTGATTTCTTATGAATTATATATTTTTCTAATCGTTCCCCTTTTATTTTCATTGTTTTTTCCCATATGTCATCTTTTCATTTGTATAAAATAAATTTAAAAAATAATTGGTCAATCACATATTTTCAATCTCTAGTTGAATATTACTCCTCATTCTCTTCTCTCTTATATCCATTCTTCTCACATTTAACCTTCCACGTCATCATATCACATACGAATGGATGAACCTATAATATCATGTAAATGTTTGATTTTGTTTCTTTAATATCTTTCGAGCGAGTGTAATGAAAATTTACTCGTATGTCTACAAACTCTTTGCACCAATGGTATTTATGTCTTCACTCGATCTCTATAACAATGTGAATAGTTTGTTTTGGACTATTTACAGATCATACTATTTTTGTCAAGTAGAATTCTATTTTAGAATGTCTTTGTTAGTAGTAGTTTTCTATTTTTTGTTGCATAAGAGGATGGTGTACAATTTATAACATATGTTGACGTTTGAATACAATCACCCTGAAATTCGATTGGCAAGCCGGTCTGGAATCAAAGTGCAACTTAAGAAAATGTCCATTTTGCTGGGGTGTCAACTACCTATATCATATCATTTTTATCTAGGAAAATTTTTTTTAGAATGTCTTCGTTGGTGTTCTAGTTTTTAATTTGGCAAACACATTAACATACTCTTTATTTACCATCTTGAAGCATCGTTATAAAATTACATCATTAAGTTGTTTTGTCTCAATGTTTTATATCATGTGTCTTGAATACGAAACTATATTCTAACATCAAGATTGACACCAAGATTGATACCATTAGCACCTCACACACAATAATTGTTCACACACAATAATTGTTCACCAATTATTAATGTTTGTACAAAAAATTGTTTAATAGTGTAAATCTTGTGATTGAAGTAGCATTTTTACTATAATAATTGCTCTAAATCAATTACTAGTATGAGATGAAGTGAGATTAAATAAAGAGAAATATTTAGGCATATTAGTCCAACTTCATTTTAAGAGTCCAGCCCGCTAAGCGTGAGCCCATAATGAAAACCACTTTAAAAGCGCTGGAACCCTAATTTTGATTTTCTCATCCACTCTCTGCCTTGGAACGACTGGTACGTTACTCTTTGTTCGTGTTTGTAACTTTGATTTGTGCTCTATTTTTTTGTTCGAATGAGATTCTGATTTCATGTTTAATGGATACTATTGTTAAATTCTTATTAAAAAAAAGTTTGCAGATGAATTTGGTGATATCTGTCAATGATTTGATGTTTCAATTTAGCAATTAATTATGATTCGATCGAATGTGTCTATGAATTATCGTTGAATTCTCGGACTAATCTTAACCAGTTCATATCTAATTTTCGAATTTACTAACCTAAGGATTTTGATGGGATGATTGTTTTCTGATCTCATGAAATTTGGAACTACGGATTCATATTAATCTTGCTGTTATTTGAAGTGATTCTGTTGCTGAATTGACCATGTTTGAGCTATGTTGCTTGAATTCTTCAAATAAGTGCCTCTTCCTGTCTTTAAACTTAATATTTCCAATTTTCACCATGTCACTGTCTCGGTGTAACTTCGTGTTAGATGTGTCTCTAAGGAATAAGAGAACACCATTTTCATTTTCTTTTCTTTTCCTTCTGAATTCATTCGACCAAACGTAGTGCTAGGGTTGGAGCATTTTGATATGAACCAATTGAACACATGCTTTGTCTTTGAAATTGACTGCGAAAAGTGATTAATTGTGTCACCGTTTTCGTTTTAAGATGTTGAAACCTTAGAGTTCCTCACTAGTATCCCCTCTTGGTTTTTTTGCTCTCGAACCTTGTTCTTGATTATTGCTTGCATTTCCATTGGAGATCCTTAACTTGTGCATGTGATTAGAATTGAATGATCAAGTTTTTTTCCTTGGAATGTGCACATCTGAATTGCCCCCTTGAAATGTTGTTGTTAATATGAGTTGCAGTGTTTGATCCTGTTTTAAACAATTTTTTTATCAGCAGGTGATATTTGTGCCTCTGATATTGAATCTTTTCAAGAATCGAGTGAGGGAGGAGAAGAGAAATGGGTCATTCAAACATCTGGAATGCTCATCCTAAGAACTACGGGCCTGGCTCGCGTGCATGCCGGGTCTGCGGCAACCCTCATGCAATCATCAGAAAGTATGGAATTATGTGCTGCAGAGTGTTTCCGCAACAATGCCAAGGAGATTGGATTCATCAAGTACCGCTAGAGGATATTGGCACACGCTATGGGGTAATCGAGAACAAGATTTGAACATTTCGAATGCATTTTCTCCGATAAAATGAGAGTTATGGTTTTCTATTTCTTCAAACTGTATTTGGATTGATGTGTTTTTGGTGTTTAAGCTTTTCTAACTTTGTTAAGTTCTTGCATGCAATTTTTTGCCCTTCTTATAACTAATTTGAAATTGTGGCCTTTTGTGTTATGTTTAAAACCCTTATACTCGCTCTATCCCAACTTCACATTTTCTTTTCGCTCCGTTCAAAAATAAACTTTACACTTGGGTGAATCTTATCACATCTTATTAAATCTTATACTGTTTTTAATTATGATTTTATTCTTGGGATGAAGAGAGTTTTATCAAAGTGGGAGATACAACATAGAGCAGCATAAAGTCTTACTAATCTCTTTATAAGCTCAATGCCTCCATCTAATCGTATTGGAGATTAAGAATCTAATCTTTTCGTAAACAACTAATGGAGATTTAGAATAATTTTTTTTATTTTACTCGTCACATCAAGAGTACGTTGGAAAGTCAATAGGCAAATCTCTCTTATAAGTTTTTTAAAAGTTAAAATGGAAATATTTTTATGGATTGGAACTGCTCAAGAAAGATGTAGATGCGCTCAATTACTCATCTATGGTTTAACCTTTGCATTTAGTGTTAAAATTTACAGTTCTTTGATATTTCTTCTGTTAAAATTTTTCAAGAATTATTCATATTTCTTCTGTTAAAAGATGTAGATGCGCTCAATTATTTATATTTCTTCTGTTAAATTTTTTTTGCGCTTGATGATTTTGCATGCATGTAGTTAGTTTGGCTTCTCTCTTGTAACTGGGAATTATGTTCTTATTTTCAAAGTTTTTAGACTTTCTTTCCAAAACAGCTTGATAGCGCATAATAATGTCTTTTTATTCGTGGTGAGTGCAAACAAAATGGTGAATAATTTGTTTTGTGTAATTTATACCTGTACTGTACAATAAAATTAACTTATACAATCAGTATCAACTTCATGACACATTTTAGGCAAAATGATATTTTGTTGTTTGATGGAGTACAATATCTGTATTTCTTTATTTATACTTCTTTCTGTTCTTTAAATTGCATTTTTGTCAAAAACGCTCTATAATTTGCTTTTTAGGATGAGTGCTCTTGAAAAGATTTTACAAGTCTTCTTATCCTTATTATTGATAAGCAAAATAAGCGAGCCAGAGGACATCAAGGTGAATTTCAGCAATTTATAACACTTTTGTCATGATAATACTTATGTTTTTGTCCTGGCACAGCTTTCCATACCTCAATTTTTCTTAAGGTTGTGTATGAAGAAGGTTTCAGTGACTATTCTTCAAATTGAAGAGTTACAGATCAGTCTATTTGTATTACAATTTCTATTTTAAAATTTGTGACATTTTGTTATTTGTATATGACATAATGTATGAAGTTATTATTCTTACCGTAAGGAGAGAATCTAGTAAATATAGAATATACTACCAAAAAAACATCCTACTCGACTTGGTTTCTTTTTTGAACTCTTGTAAATTGTAAATAAAGCAATGATGAGTGGCACTCCAAAAAAAAAACACCAAAATTACAGTATATAAAGTATAAACTCCAAAGAGACATTTGAAGGATAAACGAAGTGTGTAAAATCACAGTTTTAAAAAGGAAACAAAAAAAAACCTCATTCTGACATTGGGACTAAGGGGAAAAAAGTCCCAAAACCAGAAGCCAAAACTGTTGTTTTTCATGGCACAAGACTGTCCCAACCCCAGTTTCCCATTCACCTCTTTCGAGTCCTCTTATCGCCGTTCATCATCGGCCTGAACAAGCGTTTCGATTCGATCTCAGACTGGAGGGAAGACCTCACCTGCTTCAAATGCAACTGGCACTGGACATGGCAACGAACCTCGGGCGTTCGGGTCGGGTTCGGGTCATCTTCGGGAACGAATCTTCTTTGGTACGGAGACGAACCCCACTTCGCCAGAAGGTAGGGGTACGACCGCCACGGTGGGATGGGCATTGAGCTCTGCTTGAGGGAGGATTTGGCGGCTTCCACCATGACTTCGAGGAACTGCTTGAGCCTCGGGATGGATCCGATGTAGATGATTGGGAGGGATTTGAGGATTCGGTCGTACGGTCGGACGGCCCTCGCGATTTCAAAGTGGCTCCGGAAGTCGATGTCGATGATCACGCGCCGGCAGCCTCCGGAGTCGTCGTGCGTGATCACGTCTATGTATTCGTGGTCCCCTAATTGTAGGAAAAAAGGGGAGAAAGAAAGACGAAACAGCAAAAGTCATAAGACCTCAGAGAGTTCCACCAACTCTACCAAAACGAATTGGTGTTTAGAGATGCACACAACCCCACACAAGGGTCATGTCAATCAGTTGTGACTTGATTCACCATCAAAACAAAGAAAACTGTAGGACACTTTGGGTAAAGATGAAGGGAGGGTAGTACCTGCAGGAACCTTGCCATTGCCAACCCACTTGGAAGAACAAACACCAGAATCATAACCCAGAAGCCTCAAGAGCTTCACAAGAGAGTATTTGATACAGCTCGAATTGCACGGGCCTGACTTGACGGCGTGGAGGTCACCGTCCTTCATGGATGTCAGCAATAGTGAAACCACCACAGAGAGAAGGTTGCTCTCGTATTGGTCCACCGACTTCTTGATATACTGCACAGACGTTAGAGAGCCGAGTCAATGAACATCCAATAAAAATGCATCTTTACCACTGAATCTATCACTTCAAGAATTGCAGAACTTTGGGTTATCCTTAGAATCTTGTTAAATTTTGAAACTTGAAATAGACAGAAGCTGAGTTTTCTTTCCCTCTTTCAAGTTTCAATTCATCCCTTCCATAAATGCATGAGTGGTAAGCTATTGTAGTACATTATCATGTCAAGACATGGGAGAAAAAAATCAAGTCAAATAAAGGCTCAATCTTAAGCAGAAAACTGTAAGTTAGCTACTCCCTCCGTCCTATGAAACATTTCCAGTTTCAAAAAATGGCGCGCCTTTAAAATGAGTAATTTTGGTGCTATTTCTAATTATGATTAATCTATTCTACACATCTCATCTTACTCTTTTATAAAGTAAAGGCAAAATTAGAAAATAATACCAAAATTACTCATTTTAAAGACGCTCCATTTTTGAAACAGGAAATGTTTCATGGGACGGAGGGAGTATATCATTCCAATTCCTCTAACCAAGAAGCCATTAATGGCATGTTTTGATCCAGGAAAACATCATTTCCGCGATAAAGCCCGGAATTAAACACCGGGTCTAACAAATTTTAGACTAATATGGGCGTATAAGAATACGAGTTAATCTTACCATTTCTAATTAGTTTTGGGTTGAAACTTGAAATCTAACAATTTTTAGTTATACAATGTAAAAAAAAACAAACCAGTTTGAATAAAAATATCTAAGCATATTATTAATTATTGAGCCATATAATCATGGAAGATGTTGACAGCATAAGAATATTCCGAATGGGAACAAACGCGTTTGCAGCCAGCTACAGAATCATTCAAAGAAATACTATTCCAAAAAAAAATTAATTAGAACTGAAACATGATCTATAAACCTAAATACTCCTAGTATTTTATACCAAAATATGTCAATGCCAAAAAAACAATGCAAAATGCCAAGTGTGCCAAAATTAGTCATGAGATAAGAGAAATGCTAGTCACAAATTACATGAATTTGCTATTTCTGGATTTAAAATTCCAGTTTTTAAATTATTTGATACCATTTCATTGTTTTAGCCAGGTTCACAAATAGAAAATTTGTGATTCACTTGCTTGTGACGAGCATTTCTCGTGATAAATATTTTGGTATATATTCCATGTTTAGTGTTTCACCTTGGCTTAAAAAAGATAAAATTTCTTATCCAAAAATTATTTTTTTCAAATCATTTTATATGAAAAATAATGTAAAAATTAAAAAATAAAAAGTATATTTTTAAAACTACAAAGGTGACATGATTATATTATCTTATCCACAACTAAAACCAATAAAGTAAATAAAGTTTGACTAATAAAGTGAATAATTTTTGGAGGCATGGACTATTTTGGTATAAGTTCTATCTTCTTGATTTGTTTAAGTAGATTTCAAAGGATTCAAAACAAAAAGTTGTTGAAATTGGAAGGAAGAGGGGGGAGGAATTAGAACACTGACCGACAATCTGTCAGCAAGGTGGGCAAGATCGGAGAAAGTGGAATCGCTATCGCTGCTACTCCGGGAGTCGGCGGCGCCGATGCTTCCATTTTCCAGAAAATCTCTCACCATCGCGGCCAAATCAGTCTCGCTCTCGTGGCTGAACCCATCGCCGCCGCTTGCTCCGCCGCGGCCGGCCGGCCTCAACCACGGGTCGGCCGGCGAGGCACACACCTCACAGTCCATCGCAACCAACGCCGGCACCATCAAAAAAATCTCTCCCCCTCTCCTATTTCCGCCCTCAATTCAAATCTCCCCAGCGAATTCACACACAAAAACGCCTTAATCATACAAAAATCGAAAACTAAAACATTAAAAAAAACCTAATATATATAAATATCTTCAAATTTCTGATCACAAACGAACAAAAAAAATTGGGGAAAAAGAACTGAGATTCGGGATTTTCCTGGGATCGAAACCAGCTCAATCAAATTCAAAGTAACGATATTTCTTAAGAACGTGGAAAAATCCAATCATTAGGTTCTATCAAACCCTAGTTATCGAAAAGAAACAAATCAATTTTGATGAATTGCACCCCGGAATGAATCAACCCGGATTAAAATAAGCGGAATCATTCAAACGAGGAAATGAAAATTAAAAAAAAATTAAAGAAAAATTGGAGGAAAAAAAATAATATGAATTTGATCCAGAGGGGGTGAGAGAGGAAAGAGGAGAAATTTCTGCAATTTTCTGCAACTCCCAGAGGATGAAGAAGAAGGGTGGGGGGAGGGAGAGAAGAGTTCAAATAGAAAATGGAGACCGGCTTCTGTACGTGAAAAGACGGAAATGCCCTTTGTCGTTTTCTTAATGTCAAAGACAACTCATCACTTTTGACGGGATCCTCGAGAATGATCCGACCCAAAGAAGGAAAAAATTACCGCATATATTGGGTTTAAAAAAAAATTGCATACCAAATTCTAATTTTGACTTTACACATTTATTATTAACAAAAGTTAAAAACTTATTAAGAGTTTCAATCTTTGTTCATGATTTTATATGATAAAATGAAGAGTAGTTAATGAACTTTTCGTCCAATGACACCGTTATAACTCTTCCAAACGAGAGATTACGTGTTCGATCTCTAGTGTTAATAGTAACTGTACGAACTTTAATAGATTAAAAATGTGGAAACAGGTACTACATAGTAATAAAGTTATTAATATTTAAAAAATGAAGAGAATAGATAAAAAAGATTATAGTAACACATTTATTAAAAGTCTTTTATCAAAATAAGAAATGAGAAAAAAATTTATAGACGATCAAAGACATGAGAAAGACATTAATAAACACAAATTGTATGAGAGACTATATGCACCACAATTTGGATTCTTGAATGATAAAGTGATAGCTTTAGGAATTTTATAAATCAGTCTAGAATAAAGAAACAAGTTTTTTTATTATAAAAAAATAATTAACAATAACATTTGATAATAACATTTTTAAAGTATGTGATTTGAAATAAGACGATTAATTTGAGACAATGAAAATTTTAATGAGTAAAATAAACTCTTATACGGAGTAATGATTAATGAAAATAAATACTATTTCTGTCCCGAACTAGATTACAATCTTTGTTTTTTTCTCTCGATAACTTTTGTTTATTTATGTGTTTTAATTAAGTATTTGATAAAAGAAAATATTATAGAAGTTTTGATGTAATTTTTTAATATGAAATTTTTACAATTTTTTTATTAGTGTACTAATTTATAAATAAAATGGATTCAAAAGGTGAGAGGTTTTACCACGTAACTCTTAATTTGTAATCATGGAGTAAGAAAGATAGTGAAATATATTTTTTTATTTTACATAAATTTCAACTATACATTTTTAAATGTTGTGTTGAGTCAAATTAAATTCAACAATAAATTAGGACGCAGAGAGTAGAATGTTAGGAGTACACGTGAAGTACAGTAAATCTCAGTGCGGAAAGTACAAACGGAAGATAGGAAAAATAAAACAAAAAAATCGACTCATTCCCACGGCGGAACCCGGCGGCGACTCATCGGGACTCAGATGGAAACGGGCGGTTCGCCGTCACCTGGTAGCTGATGGATCCATAACCAACAACTGGGCTTAAATTCATAAAATCGAATCAAATTAGGGTAAAATGCATTGGTTCCATCTCCAGCTCACTCAGTTTCAATTTTCAAGTTCTTAATTGTACTGTTTTTTTAATTACTGATTTTTAACTTTAGCCCCCTCTCGTCTTTGTTCAATTCTGGTATTTTCCTTAGATTTTCTCAATCAGGGCTCCTTCAAGTAGTAATCAGCTACTAAGAGGTGAAGTTTGTGTTTCCTGAATCTTGTAAATTGTGCATTGCGTTCTTCTCCAGTCAACATTTTGCAGCATTTACTTCATTTTTTGAACAATTTCTCTTTATCTAATGTAAATGGTGTTATCTACACACTGTGTATGGAATTGTGGATTATAATGTTTTCATCTGGCTTGTTATCTTCAAACCCTGTTACCCTCTCATGCTGATTATAATGGAAGTGATTATAATGATATTTATGACATCTGAAGTGAACATTTCTATGTATCTTCATTTGACGGTTCGGTGAATTGATTCATGGTTAATTTGTAGTGTAACCATTAGGTAAGCCTATTCTAACAAAATCTTGAACTATCTGGAACTGTGGGTCCTTTTGGTAAGGGCGCAATCGTTATTTGGATTAAATGTCTAAATGAATTTCATAAAAGGAACACCATTTAGTAACATTATGGTCTGACCATTCTTTTTTGATCCCTGCATATATATACCTTCATAAAACAATTGATTGCTTGATTCAGTTTGTGCTTGTTGAGGTTTGAAGATATCATGCACTAAGTTTGTTTGAATGTGTAAATTATTACTTGGATCAGTTTTTTTTGTATAAACTTCCCCTCATCTTATGGACTAAATACGTTCTAAGTATAATTTCTTGGATCAGTTTTTTTGTAGAATGGCTCCCAAACCTGACATTGGTTGGGATCATGCCACACCAGTTAACGGCAGCAGAAAAATGGCCCAATGTATTTACTGTGGGGAAATCTTACATGGGATTAGAAAATTAAAACAACATGTTGCTCATGCACCTGGAACAGTGGGACCCTGTCCAAAAGCTCCTAAAGACGTTTCCCAAATGCTGATGAAACATCTTGCAAAGGGTAGGAGTGCGAGAGTCACAACATGCACAGGGGGTGGAACAATTCATGATGTTTTTGAAATGGAAGGAGATGGGTGCTTGCAATCTGTTCATAATGGAGATGAGAGTAGTGACACAGATGATAATTATTCATGGGCTGACGGATTGACCGAGCTTGAAAGGCTGCATCTTAAGCAAGCCATGGAAGAGAGTCGCCAAACAGCACGTTTGGAGGAAGAGCAAAGGAAAAAATTTGATCGCGCAGTTTATCAAATTATGGCACCTTCAACTGGTATTTATATTTCATTTAGGTTTATGTATAAAAATATATTCCCCCCACCCCCCACCCCCCACCCCAAAAAAAAAGAGAGTCAAGTTTCAAAACTTATTTTGTCCCAAAAAGAGTCATGTTTCAGGACTTATTTTGTCCCAAAAGAGTCATGTTTCAAGTAACGAAGCAATTTAATTTCAAAAAAGCGTATTCCAAACAAGTAATAAATGTTAAATTTAGTTTAGAATGGAAAGTAAATTTAAAAAATGTTAGTATTGATAACTTACAAGAGTCGTACCTTACCAAAACTTAAAAGTTGAACCTTGATGAAACATGACTCTTCTGTTGGGATACGGGGAGTTTTAATTTTAACCCAATTAACTCATGTTTAAATCTTCCATCCATCTTGGCTGTTGTAACTTTAGGCAATGATGGTGCTGGTCCTTCAAGCCACTCAATTTCCAGAACAAAGCGTGGCCATTCTTCCAGAAACAGTATGCATCTTAGTAAAATTGATAGATTCTACTCGCTATGCCCCATAAATTTCACTTGTTTGTCCTGTAGTAAATAAACTTCCCCTCATCTTATGGAATTTAATTTGCACTTGATGTTTTTTTTTCTATAGCTAAATGATGTTTTTTTTTCTAAATAAAATAATAAATCTCAACCACACAATCTCTAATATCTTAAAATGCATGCAAAAGTAATTGTGAGGTTTATTAAGATGCCTTAGATACGAATGCAGTATTTTTTATTAAGGTACGGACAAAGTATTTTGTATGTTTTCTTTTATAAAATAATGTATTAAAGTAATCAAAGGCTATATCCGACCTCAAGTATTAATGTATTACTCTCTCCATCCCAAATATTTGTCCCAAGGTTGTCTTGACTCGTTTTTTTAATAAAGTAGAAATTGTAAGGTTGAGATTTGTTTAGAAGAGCTTAAGATGGAGAGGCAATATGAACTAAATAAACTTTTCCTAAGAAGGAAACAAGAGCATAATTTTGGGACAATCCAATAGGAAAGCAAGAAGAAAGTTATGGGATGGGGTAGTAGTTTCTTGTCTCTGATGAATTAGTTTCCAATTACCTAGCATAATCATGTGGAAAAAATGGTTGTCTTCCATCCTCTTTTCAGCAATGAAGAAGACTCATGTTGTCGAGATGCAAATTGAAGAATTGGAAAATGAGTTGGATTTTCAAAAACAAAAGGTAAATGATGTTGAACAAGAAAATTTGAAGCTAAAAAAGGATATGTTGCATATGCAAGAAGAACTTATGCGCCAGACTAAAATGGAGGAGGAAAAGAATCCTGGTATCTGTGAACTAAAAGCCTTGCTGTTTCAAAAGGAAACGGTATGCTAATTCACTGAAGCTTGTGCTTGGTATTTGCATTGAGCGGACAATTTTTTATTGAACTTTGCTTGTCTTGTTGCTTGATCCTACTGTCGTTTGAGTTAATTGATAGATATTTAGTGTTGCAAACATCAGTGATTATTGCGTCTGCAGTCCCTTGTATCCTTTCCTTTTATTAATAGAATTTCTCATTTAAAAATAAAAAAAATTGCCTACTTAGTTCTAGCTGACTAATGTATTTGTTAGTTTTGAATGCTCTAACTTGCATTGAAAACTTTTTTTTGTTCACCAAAAATGTCATCTTTGAACAAAAAAAATCTAGTTTTCATTATATTTAAATTGTTTACGTGAAAAAGTGTCTCGAACAAGTTAATTAAAATATAGAAGTTGTACCTTGTGAAACATGAATTCCTTTTGAGGGGAATGAAGCCATTTTTATAGTACAGAGGGGTATCATTTGTTTTATGAAGTTGAACTACCTTTATATAATTATCCAGGAAACTTGGGTACCACTGTTTTTCAGATAAAAAAAGCTTATCGGAATGGCTTTTTGTTTTCTTTTTTGCCATATTGAGTTCAGGAGATCAATGAATTGAAAGAAAAATTAGCTGAGAAAGATGATGAACTTCGTGACGCGCAAGATCTAAACCAGACTCTTATACTCAAGGAACTCATGAGTAACACTGAACTGCAGGACGCCCGCAAAGAATTGATCAATGTAAGTCTATTCATATGTTAAAATGCATTAACACTTCCCTATATGATCATCAAGAGGAGGTTTACGTCACATTTTCGTACTAGACTAATACTCATTACACCAACACATTCCCTTCTTCCCACACTGCGCAGGATAAATGAGTCAAACCAACACCCAGACATTCTTTCACAAGCCATCAAGTGGGTGGTAGAGCTAGACATGGGTCGGTCCTTGGCGGGTTTGGATCATGGTTTATGTCAATAATAAAACTAAAAGCTTTTATACCCAAGCCTGGCCCAATAAAAGGGGTCGCATATGTTTGTCCAAGCTGCCCAAACCATAAATGTAATTATCAAGGCACATTCAAGCCCGGCCTTATTTTATTAAAGTTAATATTGAAATCCATTTTCTAAAAATAACTTCAAACTAAATACTCCAAACCATTAAAAACTATTAGAAAAATATTGGCACACAAAAAATAAATATATTATCTCACACAAAAAATTATTGCGGGTTGGGATTGGGCTTTATAGTCAAACCAAATTCCTGACCCATTTATTAAATGGGTCTTTCATTTTGTTCAAATCCCAAATTGTGGTTTTTTTTGTAAACCCTCCAAATATTGGTTGGGCCTTTAGGCTGGGGCACGTAGCTCGCCTAATGTTCACATGTAGTGGGCACATTCCTAACAAGCCACCGTTGGACTATATTTTGATCTCATTCTTAACATACCCAAAAAGGTTCACAAAAGGCGATATTTACCTTAAACTTATATACTAGACTAGATTCAAACCCACTAACCCAGTGTCCCTTTCCATATCCCTTTTCGTGTCCCCTACCAATCACATCCTCATCCTGGATATGGAAAAGGACGTTTGGTCTCAACCCACCAACATTGTTTGAAACTTGGAAATCATATACTCCCTCTGTCCATTTGGATTCTTGACAGAAAATTTCACGGAGTTTTAGACAAATGTAAGAATATTGTTTACTTTCCATATTTTCATATTTTCCTCTGACAGTACAATTATTAAAATATGGTGGGTGAAATGGGGGGTTTGAAATTAGAGATGATGTGTAAATAACCTTGACATAAGGGTGAACTGGACTTTTTATAACCTTGGTAATGTTAATCTTGGAAGTGACGAAGTGTAAATAATCCAATGGGACAACCAAAAATGGCAAGTGTACAACAACAACAACAACCCAGTTAAATCCCACAAAAGTAGGGTCTGGGGAGGGTGTGTGTACGCAGACCTTGCCCCTACTCGAAAGTAGAGAGGCTGTTTCCAAAGAGACCCCCGGCTCAACGTCGAAAGTTGCATTGCTTAACTAACTGCTACTTCATTAATTAAAGAAGCACAGACAGTTTAGAGATCCATTTTGATTTATTCCATCACATCCCAAAGCCAAAAATGGTGAAATTTTGGCTCCATCCGAGATGATGGAAATCAAAAATGGCAAGTGTACAACAACAACAACAACCCAGTTAAATCCCACAAAAGTAGGGTCTGGGGAGGGTGTGTGTACGCAGACCTTGCCCCTACTCGAAAGTAGAGAGGCTGTTTCCAAAGAGACCCCCGGCTCAACGTCGAAAGTTGCATTGCTTAACTAACTGCTACTTCATTAATTAAAGAAGCACAGACAGTTTAGAGATCCATTTTGATTTATTCCATCACATCCCAAAGCCAAAAATGGTGAAATTTTGGCTCCATCCGAGATGATGGAAATCAAAAATGGCAAGTGTAAAGAATTCAAAGGGACGGAGGAAGTATATACCTGGGATAAGTGAGTGACTTCATGTTCTCATGCAGGTTTGGCCTGATCTTATGAGTAGATCAAAAGTTGGCATAAGGAGGATGGGTGAGGTCGATCAGATACCCTTTCAAACTGTCTGCTTACGCAGATTTGGTCGGCAAGATTGGGAGCTGAAAGCAACAGAACTGAGCTCTCTATGGCAAGAGATGGTGAACAATCCAAACTGGCATCCTTTTAGAACAATAAAGAAAGACGGGAAATTGCAGGTATGTTTCTTTCCTTCTCTTTAACGGCTTTCCCACAAGAGTTACTTACACTTTATTTTAGATGGATCAGCTGTGTATCAGATAGCACTATATCAAGACACACTATAAAAAAGATAAAAATTATGCGTTAGCTGCGATATGGGTTTCTGTGTACTTGAATATCCCCCCCTATGTTTTTCGCCATTTTCTTTCTCTAGAGTTTTACAGTTTCCAAACAGACCCATAGGGATTTGTGATCATCATCTACAAAAAACATCGATCATCTGTCATTCATCTTCATAAATCTATTTCTCTGCATGGCTATCACTTGCATATATATATATATATTATGCAGGAAGTAATAAACGAGGACGATATAACTTTGAAAGAACTGAAATATCAATGGGGCGATGCACCCTATAAAGCCGTTATTGCTGCCCTGCTGGATTTAAACGAATACAACCCGAGCGGGAGATACGTAATTCCAGAACTGTGGAACTTTAAGGATGGGAAGAAGGCCACTCTGCAGGAAGCAGTTCAATGCCTAATCCATCAGTTAAGGGCTCTCAAGTCTTCTCCTTACGCTTGTTGATCAATCCACATATCATGTGACCTCAAAAGCATTTCAGCAGATGTCTATATCCATCACACGGGTTAGAGTTCGATCTCTCCTCTCTTTTTTTTCCTTCCTTTTTGACTGACTAAATACATTTAGCTCACATGTGAATGTTTTTGAGGAGTTTTGCCCCAATTTTCCGGTTAGAAGCCCCAAAGTGTTTGAAGGTTAGGGTCATGTGGGGGAGGGGGGGGGGGGGCATTNGGGCATTGTTGTAAAAGTTTGTGTAGTTCCCCAACAAATCACTCTTGGTATAAATGGAGTGGAAATATTTGTTACCGACCAAATAGAATGTTTCATTACAAAAGAAAAAAACAAGTTGCCCGGGACAAGTATCATACGTTGCAACATTCGACCCTCCTTAAGGGTCAATGTCACGTTGGTCAAAGCCGGCTCCGAATGGGTTTATAATTTGTGTTCGATGCGAAATTGCGAGTAATGTCGTTGGGATGGAGAAGTGTTCTCGACCTCCGGTGGCTCGTTTGCACTAGATGTGGTTTATGAAAATTTGATTTTTTCAAAAAAATAAAAAAAAAATAAGAATGTGGTTAATATTTGTTTCAAAATACGGAGTAGAGAATTATATTGTGAGCCGCTTATTCTTTTAATAAAAAGAAAAGGAAACTTCGGGGTAGACAAAAATGAAGTGTATATTTAATTCGGGCATGTAGAAAGTAATAAAAAAAATTATACTCCAGGTACTTAATTTTCAAAATTTTATCCTTGTGATTTCGATTATTATTTATTCAAAATTTGAATAATTTTTTATTTTCAATCAAAATAAATTGTAAGTTTGAAATATATTATACTTGGAAGTATGGTTTTCGGGTTGAATAAAATTATTCATAAATACATTACTTAAATAGAATATTTAATTTGCATTGGTGATAAAGTTCTTCCACTCTCTATAATACTCTAGAGAATGAGGAACCGTCATTGTTTGTACCGTATGTGAGGAAGAAATTAAGGTTTAAGCATCGTTACATGCAACACATGTCTTTTTATTAGGTATATACTCTCCGTCCCGGAAATTAATTGATTTTAGAGTGAACGATACTTTTGATTGAAACTACTTGACATTAGAATCGTGTTTAACTAACTTTTTACTCTTGTAAATGCGAACATCTTCATGTTAGCCTAATGCAATTATGTAAACATCATATTGTGAATCAACACGTAATTAGTCTAAAGTGCGTAAATTTAGTTAAAAGGTTAGAAAGGTGTGTTGCGAGCAACTTCAATTCGAGTTGTTGTATGTATATATATATATATAATCTAGGACTCTCAAGATATAAGACATAATTTTATCTCTATCGTGTTATGCAAACAGATTTATCTAATGGTATGTTTGGGAACATGGATTTGGATTTTAAATCCGGATTTGGCTCAAATTCCATGTTTGGAAACTTACAAATTTTGAATTTGGATTTGAATCAAATTCTTCTCATTCATAACAAAGCTTAATTTTAAATCCAAGCACCTCCCCTTGTCATTTGAAATTTAAGATTTCAAATTTTGGAATTGAAATACATGAATTGAAATGAAATCTTAGTTGTCAAACACTACCTAAGATAAATTGACAATTTATGTTACAATATTGAGAATGAGAATGAAAATACAACAAATCATCAACAACAAATCCAACAGGAATGGAAAGTGTATATATAGTTAGAAAACAATTTGAACACGTTTTTCCAAGAGAGCATTAGTGGGCAAACCGTGTTACAAGTCATGACTATTCTATGATTATTATTTATAAATATAATATACTAATTTAATAATTCTTGATTCACTCTAAGACAATCTTGTCAATATGGGATGAGGAACAAGATATATAAGTACACCTAAATACCCTCTCTCGAAATAAAATTTTACACTAATCTGAACACAATTATTATCGAGATGAACGTGTATGATTAAATTGTGTACATAAAACAGAGACTTTTGAACCTTTTTCTTAGACAACCAATAAAAAGAAGAATGCAAAACTTTTTTTATTTCCGGTATAAGACAAAGGGTAACTAGTTTGACCGGTTGAACTAAATCTATCTTAATTTAATCCATTAAGTATCTTCTTTCATTACGATTTTCTGTTGATAGTTTATTATTGTAAAATAATATAATCAAAGTTGCTTTTTTGTATGTAGCACTTTTGATATATTTTTTGAATAAATGAAATTTTTTTTTAAAAGTTACAACAATATTAAAATAGAATAATTGAAAGTAACTTCAGTCAAAAGTTGTAGACTTCAATGCAAGTAGTTTTTGGGACGAAGAGAGAAAAACATACTTCACAAGTAACAATGTTTGAACCTTAATTCCTCACTTTAAACATCGTCAGTTCTTCATCCTCTAGAATACTATTGAGAAAAGAAAAATTCAAAAATCTCTTTGCCCCCACCAAAAATTTTGTATGCCCTCATTAACTTTTTCCAATATCTACTTGCATAAAAAGGCCAAAACATTTTAAACATTTAAATAAAAATTATTTTTAATAATCTACTTATTTATATCTTCTCAAATTCAATTTGCTTATTTGCTAAGTTATAAATTATGCATATTATTTCACAATATTGAGATGAAATATAACATTATTTTTTTCGTTTCACATTGTTTTTATAAACAAAATCCCAGGGGAGGGAGGGGTGGGGGGCTGCCTCTGAAACCCCGCCCTATTTTGTTCCTGATCCTCCCATTTTCTGAACCATCCACTGGTCTGATTTGATGTGATTCTAGTTAATTTTTAAAGTTGTTTATAATCTAATTTGCTCACGTCTCATCCGATATGATTATATTTGAATCTAAAATTGTTTCTGATCTGATTTCAATATGAATAAGTCAAAGAATTATCACCAATAATCTCCACAAGAGCAAATGCCATCTTTAAAATGATGGAACCTATTGGCATCCCTCACAACAATAACTCTCCCAGTGAGCTTGGAAATATATCTGGTGAAGCTATGGCAATCAATGCAGACCCTTAAGTTCTTGACTATCCTGATCTCAGACCCAGGCTCAGAAGCTATGAGCCCAAAAGAAATGGCTAGCTTCTCACTGTGAACTTTCACCATCAGCTCCTTTTCCTCCTCTTCCACATCATGCAATGCTGTGCTAGTCTCCACCTGAAACCCAGCCTCCCTCATCTTCTCCATCATCTCCTCCAGCTTCGAATAAATGGCACCAGATTGCGGGTGTGACTGGTCACTGGATTTAAACACGTACGGGTACCCGTCGACTTCAATTAGAGTGCATCCGGGAGTCTTCGCTAAATTCCTCTTCTTAACCATTTGCCTCACCGAAGCAGCCCGCGGATAGTTGTGGTCTGTGGAGTGTATGTTTGCTAGAAGCACATAGTAACCGACATTTTCGGCGTCTAGGTTAAACAGCTTACCAGAGACAAAGTTAGCAAGATTGGTGTTCTTGTGTGTTTTGCAAGCAGCTAACAGAGCACCCCATTCGGCTGGACCTGGTTCCACTGGCATTCTTTCTATAAAGTTTAGGGCTTTTTCTAGTTTCCCGGCTCGGCCTAAGAGGTCAACCATGCACGCGTAGTGTTCAGATGAGGGCTTAATGCCATGGTAATGGACCATGGAATGGAAAACATTTTCACCTTCTTGTACCAAACCAGCATGACTACAAGCATAAAGCAGTGAAAGAAAAGTAACTTCAGTTGGGTAAACTCCAGAACTAAGCATTCTATCAAAGAGCATCAATGACTCGCGGCCAAATCCGTGTAGGCCATAACCAGAAATCATGGCATTCCAAGTCACTGCATTTTTCTCCAGCATAGTATCGAACAACTGCCGAGCTGTCTCAATGTTACCACACTTTGCGTACATGTCAACTAAAGCAGTTAGGACATAAATGTTGGTCTCCAAAGTTTCGTTCTTTATCAATTCATGGATCCATCTTCCAATGCTTAGAGCTCCAAGCTGGGAACAAGCTGAAAGTATACTTGTGATCGTGATGGGGTTGGGATGGATATCTAATTTTTGCATTTCAAGAAAGAGAGATATTGCCATTTCTGTCTGACCATTTTGTGCATATCCTGATATCATTGCATTCCAGGATGCCAAAGTTCTCTCCGAGGACTCGTCGAATAGCTTCCTGGCAAATTCAAGTTCATTCAAGCGACTATAAGCCGTTGTAAGTGCGGTAGAAACAGAGGGATTCCTAATTATATAAGTTTTTACACAGAGACCATGTATTGAAAAACATAAATCTAGATGACCAAATGGGGAAGACACGGGAATCAAACCGACAATAGTACTAGAATTAACTTTCTCCTCTGAGGCAAGCAAATCTTTGAATAGCCTTACTGAAGATTCAGTCTCATTGTTGAATGCAAACCCAGCAATCATTGCATTAAATGGAATCAAATCTGGTTTTCTAATTTGCTCAAACAATAACCACCCTGTTTTAACATCCCTACATCTTGAATATGCTGATATAAGCCCTGTAAGAACAAAATCATGAAAAAAACACCCAACCTTTATAGCCAAACAATGAACCGTCTTCCCCATCTGCAACGCCTGCAACTCAGCCACAGAAGTGAGAACCACAGACAGTGTGGCAGCATCGTATTTGATCCCACTCACAACCATATCCCTAAAAACCCGAATTGCTTCTTCGAAACAAAAGTTCTTGGAGAGTCCAGCCACCATAGTGTTCCAAAGCACAGTATCAGGACAAGCAATTCTATCGAACACCTTGCGTGCATTCCCAGTTCTTCCGAAATTCATATACATATCCACCAATGCAGACCCAACGAACACATCCGAGCAATACCCGGAAACCACCGCTTGCCCATGGAGCAACAGCCCAAATCTCTGATCCCGGGACGATGAAATGCCCGAAATAACGAACGCGTACGAGTAATTATCCGGTTCCAATCTCGTTTCGCTGCAGCGTAAGCGGAGGAAGATGGATAGAGATTCAATGGGCAATCCGTTCTGGGAGAACCCTCGGATGAGAACATTGTAAAGAAACAGATCGGGGCGATTGAAGGCGTTAACGATCCGTCTGGCGATAGATATGTCTTGATGAGGAGCAGAGAAGCTCTGGGTTAGCTTGGTGACGGCTATGAGGTTGTTGCTATGGCCGCTGCGGATCAACTGGGCGTGAGCTTGGGTGAGCTCGGAGACTGTTGCGGCCTTGTTGATTATGCCCAGAAAAA